TTCACTATCTTCCTCGTCGAAGACAACTGTTGGCGACCTCGTTGCTCTAGGGGCAGACAAGTGCGGGTGGGATCGTTTTTCTTTCCTCATCCGCTTGGAGGACTATGCACACAGCTTGGGGTCACGAGTGTTGTGGCTTGCCGCACGTTATAGGGTGACAGGTGTTCCAGGTCCTAGTGAATGGTGGGATAACAACAACGGCGGAAACTACCGTGTTGCTTTCCGTGCGGAACGACCAACATCTGGTAGGGTTCGGAGAGAGACGACACCTGGTGAGCTTTTTTTGCATATTTTTCAAGACGGTCAGTTGATAGCTAAATTTGTAGAACCTATTATTCCCTCGATGGTGACACTACCTGTTTCCCGCGAATATCTTTCGGGCCCATTGAATTCAAATTCGCCCCCTACATTCGGACACAAGATGACATTCTCCTCCTCGCCAACGAAAGACGGGAAGGAGAAAGTTCCATTTATGTCAAAGTCAGGGAAGCTCCGTCTACCTAACTATGCTGCACCTCCTGTGGTTTCCCAAATTTCTCCTACCTCCTCTGCGTCACCACTGCCTACGCGTTCTAATTCTCCACCCTCGCACCCCCAATGCCCAGCGCTTCAAGTCCCTGTCACACATTTACGTGATTGTGACTCCCCTTCACCTGCTTCTTCGACGCTTTCGACGCCCTCCGCTTCACCCAACATACCCCCGCGCGTAATGATTGCCGGGCATCCAGCGAACTATGCACGCCCTGAGCCGACACACATTGATGACTGGGAGTGGATGGCGCCGACACACGCTGTGATGTCGAAGCGGCCAACCATGCAGAGGAGTGTCACAGATGGGCCAGCTAATCTTACTGGATCTGATGTACCTGGACTACTTCCTCGAGCGCATTCGTCTGCACTACTCGGCGCGCCAGGAAGCAATGGCATGTCAGGCGATTCGCTTTACAATGCGTTTGTGATGCGGTGGTGCTTTGCCCAAGGGTCGCCCACTGCAGGTGCATATCAGGGGCCACTCACAAGCAGCGACGAGGGTATTTTGGCGTGAGACTTTTTTCAACCAGGTGCATTTTTGGAGCGAAGACTTGTACGATCTTGACGACCTCGACCTTATGATAACTGCCGTCCGCCGTCGACGGTGGCACTCACGCACTTGGGCTATGTAAGCACAAAAATGTTGCTGCAGCCATTTCCTGCTTCGATTCTGTTTCAATTTATTTCGGATCTCTTCATGTTCCGTATTCAGCTGTACCAACACCCCATCATCTCACGTTATCTCGTCCCGACACACGACCTGTGGACAATATTTTCCCTTGCTCGGTACTGGATTCTGCTTCCTTTTCATACTATACCTACCCACTCCATCATAAAAGCGCTTAGCGCGCATCGCATTGACATATCACGCTCTGACGTTCATGTATGGCTATAACTCGTCTATCTGTTGTATAATATATATGCAGACTTATCATAGGGATCTTGGGACTCTGGAATACAATACTTACGTGGTGTTCTTGAAAGTCGAGGAGGGTTCGCTACACTTTGTTCTTTAAAACTCCGCTTGAGACTGGTCCTTGTTCTCTGAGAAGGTTCTTACCATAGGTTCGTCGTTTGTGTGGCCACTGGCTGGCCGCAAGCTATACCAAGCTCATTCTTTCAAGGTTCAGAACTTCCATCATGCCAATCGACTGCGGAATTCTGATTCAGGGCCAGGTATGTATAGACTAACTTCTGACCAGGTCCACGCCATACAATTAATGACGCCATCCGAGTCGCTGGCGGCTGTCGCCTAGTACTAGTAGGCTCACTTGACACATTCTTGGTCAGTAACTTGCAAGTAGCATCATCATTTTCAAAGATTTAAGCTCATTAACACCTTTTGTTGACGCAGGGATCAATAAATCGATCACTATTTTTTCTAGTCCCCGGTGATCATAAGTACCATGCAACGTCTCCAAAACACGCGCTGTCTGCTGGCGCTCGATGGTTTTCCCCTTTCAGGGAGTCATAACGGTCGATTGGCGAGTCGATGTCGCCATTCTATCACGCTGAGATGCATGTGTGATCTAGGGACTAACCACCACCATCAGCCTGATTGAGCAATGACGCCATTGCTCTAGTCGTGGCCCTCCTCGTCAGCGGCGCCTTAATCTCCGGGCATTTGGACCATCAACGTTCAGACTCGCACGAAGAAACCTGTGACTTGATCTTCGTCTTCGAGGAAACGCCTTTTTTAATGACTGTGGATCGTCGTGAGTCATTCGTCTGTCTTGGAACTTTGTCTATTTGGATGACAGAGATCATGATTGTATGTGTATGCCAGCGTGCTGCGCTTGCAAATCGATTATTTGATCCCCCTAAAGAGTATGTAATGATCGGCATGGTCATGAACAATGTATCATCGATGTCCTTCGACGTCAGGCGACGCGGTGACTGCCCAAAGCCCAAGTGACTTCATGACGCGATGTTGCAAACAAGGATGTCCTGAGACGGCCTATTTACTTCTGGACTAGGCCAACGCCGCCGCATCCGTATACCTCGGGGGGATGCGCGATAATGTATTCGTCTTCAAGTACCTTCTGATCTACATTCTGATTCAGGTTTATCTTACTGTTGTTTGTGTTTTGCGAAGTCCCTATACTCTTTCCTTGAAAACTGCCTGTTTGGTTCGCTTTCTGACCTCTGGCATTAGCTTTAACTTGAATAAAATAGTCCCGAGCTTCTTCCAACGACTGACATTGATGAAAGATAAAATGGGTTTCATGCTTCCTACTGTGACTGTGGGGTATCCCTGCCCAATACCTGCCCGTTCCACTGGCGCTTACACATCAGGTTCCAGGGCCAGGAGAACATAATAGCAAAAACAGAATACTGCAATCATTTGAATTCTTTGTTCACGAGGCAGGTCTGGGGTGAACTTAGCCCCACTTCGCCTTGCTGACCAGTACGCGACCTTAATGGGGACTCGAATGCTGCATACGTCATTGAAATATCTTTCCCTCATTAACACCCGATCGACAATCATAATACCTGGATCGACAGGGCATTACGATGTATCATGAAAGCAGTCCCGAAGAAAAAGTTAAGGGGACTGATAGGCTTCAGTCGCGCTTGAGTGCATGAAGACCTATTTTTGAATCTGGAGCCAACTCAGGGGGCCTCAATATCAATGTTCAGATACTGAAAGCGAGAAGCGGCCGGACAGTTGCGCAAGACGTTTGGGATATATTTGAAGTCGTGCTAGGCATTTTTAGAATTTGATTTGCGTTCAGTGCTTCGAGACATTTATAGCAGGTAGCATCATTTGCGCGTGGGCGTGTGCCTCGTCGTCGGAATCCAACGCTACCTGCTGTCGTCTCGAGTTGGTCGAAGTTTGTTGCCAGCAGCCAGTACTAATCTTGTGTAAATGGAATTGATGTTGTTGTGGAGTGATGGTCGCAATAACGGCGGCGGCGTAGATTTTTCTTGGTCCGCGCGACTAGGCGCTTTGTACAATTATAACCGATGGGTTTTATCTAAAAGGCGAACCAAGTTTCCTCACTCGAATTTCTCGTTCCTTCACTTATCTCCGCCATCGCATGCAGCCGTCGATAACCAACCCATAAACGTGATCAACCGCAGTTTTGTCGTTGTGGGAACAGGATTCCGTACTGGTGCCAAAACGTTTTGCGACCGGCGGGTCTTTCAATGGCCCTTGAAGAACGTAATGGTGAACTTCGGTTGTAAAGATAGGGAACGCACTGATATCAGAATAAATTGACCCGCTGCTGCGAGCGGAGATATCGACGACAGAGCGCCTATACATGCACGACAGATACCGAGGCCAGGTCCCAGCATCCTACGATGTCCGGCATAGGGTCTATGATAACAAGGCAATAAATCGGTTTAGATATAAAAAGATGAAATTGCGGGGAGGTACCTGAAGTAGCGCGATCGAGCTGGAAAATAGGGATTATGTTGCGAGCGCCGCCGGAATGTTTACTGAGGCCCAGAATTCGCGCCTAGCAGGTCTTGTAATGGCGACCTTCGAGAATGTGCAAGGGTAAGCTTCGACAATAGCGCTTGTATCAAATGGGTCTAAGAGAAGTTAGTGTGTGTTTCTTTTTGAAAAAGGAATTGACCACAAATTGTACAATGCATGGCGATGTTGATTGGCTAGAGGACTCCGGATTTTGAGATTTTGGCGCGAGCAGTAAGTAACGTGTGTTGATGTTGATCATCTCATTGAAGTAGCGCGATGATTCCAATCCTACCGAGACAGCTGCAGCGGCTGGGGTGTGCAAGAGTCCCGGGCTGCGAGGGCTACTGAAGTGTTGCAAAGGCTAGGCGATAGATCAGCCTTGACTACGCCACTTGGGTTGTCTGTGGAAGTGTACATTAGGCTGGTCACGAGCCTAGATCAATCATTAATCACCCTTCGACACATGTAGCACCTGAAACAACCTACGTCATGCACTATATTGACATGCAAATACTACGTGGTGAGTTGCCGTAAGTGAATTGTGCTTCTGAAGGGAGCTGCGCTTCAGCATAGCCGAGACAGGTGACCATGCAGTTCATGCAGTTCTAAAGACTTTGGTAATGCAGAGTAATGCTCGCCGGGCGGCACAAGGGTCAGTCACCCTGAAGAAGATGAGGGTAATTAATGTGGTGCATCGCAGTGGCAGCTCTACTCACTAACAGTCGTGTTTTGCCTCTGATATCAAAACGTTCCATGATCATACACAATACAATTTGCGTTAGGGGATTCAGGGAACAACCCGCCCATGAAAACAAGCACACCCGATCCAGCCACAGGTTCAGCTTAAGGGTCTAAAGAGAAGTTTATACACCTGTACCCATACCCGCAACCACTATGTCCGCGGGATCCATAGGAGCTGAACCCTCGGATTGAACAGCTTCAGCGATTATATGCCTGCTTTTGCGTATGAATCGGTCCCCCCAATTCGCCTGTAATAAACCCTCACGTACAAAATCACAAAAGTTGAGTACACGCAAAAAAAAAAGTTCTTTCAGAGAAGACCTTGCTTAAATGAAAGTTTATTGGCCTCAACGGTCAATTTCGCAGCGAGTAAAACAGTGCTCAATATAAACCACAACAGGTGTAAATCCGCGCGCTGTGGATTAGCAAAAACTATAAGTGACGATAATATGTGAGGCACTGCATCTACTGTGTACGCGTGGCTTGTGAGCTCCAGCAGGAACACGTGAATAAAGTCGGCTTACATGGAACCTGTACTGCTCGTGTAGAACTTATGAGACATAAAGGTCTTCTTTTGTGTCAATTCCTATAACGCAGACAGAAAAGCGACGGTCAGCAGACAAGCTACGTGTATCCGAATAACATGAGCACTCACCAAGTTCTTCTCTAACCGGCTTCAACTCGTCCAAGTAAGCCTGGTATTGTTGCTTGTTCTCAACCTTTTCCCTGATACCCTCGAAGACACGGACAGCGGTTGCATAATCATTTACGCGGCGTGCTGCACGGAGGGCAGCCTCAACAACGCCAGGTGAAGGGACGAGGTCGTGTGCAAAGCAGTTGTTGAGGCCACGTTGTACCTCGAAGAGGTCCTGTGCGCCTTGGAAGAAAGCGACGTAGCGCTCAGAGAACTGCTCAAACGTTTCTTGGCTATGCGAATCTGATGATGAAAAACGTTGTGGTATTGTGAGGGCAGGGGTCGCAGCACGACGAAGGACGACATTAGGCCGTGCGCGAAGGACGGAGGAAAGCATACGCTGGCTCATGATGACAGTGAGGAAGGACTACGACAGACCAGCGACAGCAGCAGTAGAGAAAAGTCTCAGGCGCGGAGATAAACGTAAATCGGTTTCAACGTCGTTAACAGTGATCCGGAAAGCTCCGAAGCGTCTAATGCAAACTACATATTAGCCTTGTAACATGTTGTCTAGTATCTACGACTATAATCACTTGCAGTAGCCATGCTGTCCAGAGGCTGGACGCAATGCAGGGCCAATACTGGCTTGGCAATGCAAAATCCAACCCTTTCCACACCTGCCAATCTACGTAGGTCGTCGACCGGTCAATTCGAGAACCAGCTAGTCCTAGACGAAGCCCAGCCCGGCCGGGACCGTTGAACGTTGAACTTCAAAAATAAACTATCGACCAAGTGTATCGGCTATCCCCGGCGGAAGTATTTGCCTCTGTTTGGTTCAACTGTACAGTTACCTCAGCCACACTTGGTCGCTGTTCAGAACAACCTGTAAGGCTTAGCAGCATCCTCAAAATGTCGACCGACCTCCAGTGGCTCCTTATCCGCGTCAGTTGCGTCGTCTTTGTATTCCACAGTACAAATACTGAAAAAATTGCTCCATATCTACAGAAATACAACTCCTTCCTTGTGAAGAAGGTCCCTGAAGGTCCCATCTTCTCCAAGGAGCCTGTATGTCGCGTATCCGAACTTGTACACGGGTGCTAAGCTTACTTTGTATTAGGGTAACCTTCTTAACCTGCACTCGCACAAATATTCCGGTCTTGCTAACTCCAAGGTGTGTAGTCCCACTGTGATCAAATGACCTCCATTAACGTTATATCAATAGACCATCGACATTCAGAGCTCTGAGTCTGGACTACAAATCACCACCCGGAAATCTAAGGCATCACCACACGCTGTTCGTCCCGCACGATCAACCGCAAACGTTCGTAACCGCTCAGGAGGCCGTCGTTCATTGGGAGTCGTTGCTTCCGTCGCAAAGAGGGGGTACCGTCCCGACCTGAGAGCTGTGAGTGTTGATGGTTTATATCTGGACATGGAACAGGATTCCTCTCGACAAAAAGCACTCTCGTTAGAACCCGCTGGAAACCACCGTAAGGTGTATGAAAGTTGGGCGTGGACATGTTTGCAATATCAACTCAGCCCTGCTTGGGCTATTCGTCATAATTCATATTTACCACTGCGAATTTGCCATCGCAGTGGGCCGATACTGACGAGTACAGTCGTCCCAACATTTCTGTTGTACGATCCGTCGAAGAGCTTATGCTGACACCTGTTTCGTCGCTTTCTAGGCTGCTCTTGGTCGTACCTCTGCACTGCTCGCTGCACAAAAAGAGAAGAAAGCTTCGCCACCGAAGAAAGTCCGGGGGAAGAAGGCAGCAGCATCCATTCCATGATTTGATTTATTTGTATCTCTAGTGCCTTCATTGCTATGTTCGTCCATGCCGAAATAAGCACACCATGCCGCACATTCCTAGTTGGCTGCAAAGATGATGGTACATTTCAACGAGAATGACACCTATACAAATACATCGTTCTCTCTTTAATGGATCCAGCATTCTCAAACAGAACATGGCCTTTTCCTAAATCCCAAAGGTCTTTCCAGCAGGTTGAGCGATCCTTCCACCACCACCATAACCGCTTTTACCACCGACATGGTCTTTGGTGGGCCTGCTAGCTTCTGCCTTGCGATAAGCGCTCTCTTGAAGCCTGTTATCGTCATGGCTGCCCTGTCCATGATGTTTCTTCTTCTTTGGAATCTCTTCCTCATTATGCGGAGGGGCATGTGGCTCCTCCTCGCTGTGGTTTGCCGGGCGCGGATAATCAGTATCTTCGGTTTTATTTGCGCCAGTGTTTGCAACAGCTTCCCTGCATGTTTGGATCAGTTTCAATGGTTAAATGCTCAAACGTCAACTAGCACTCACGAGTTGGCACGAGGCCTCGGGCGCGAGGTAACTGATAGACGACGACCGCCCACTCTGACTGCAAGGGACTCGTCAGTAACTGCACGACTGTCATCACTGTTGAACGTACTTGCAGGGGGGTGCTGAGTGACTGCTGCGTCGGACATGATAAGATGTTTCAAGGGATGGTGACCGTCAATACCTGTGTGGAGCCGCCGGGTTCACCGTGGTATAAATAGTCGGCCGAACTAGTTGAGACCCGGTGACCTCAAACAATAGGCGTACACTCCGGAGCATAATTTGATCACTGAACATATAAGGTGAAATTGCAGCTTTTGGCAAACGATAAGTTGTTCAGTCAAGATACTCGTACAAGTCGAGTCCGTACGCTACGAGCCACCCCGCCGATTTCAGTTCTGTGGCAGCAAGTTGCTTTGCGCGATGTCACATCGAGCGCGTCAAAAGGTTGTTTTGCATGTGCCCATAGCATGGGGACGACATAAATGTGAAAATGACATAGAAACCGAGATAAACGCGCAGAAAAATTTACTCTTCCTCCTCCTCCTCGCCACCCTCTTCCCGCTTGGCGGCAGCGGCAGCGCGTTTGCGCTTGACGCGGCCGGGGCGTCCACCTCCGTATGGCGATGTAAGAGCGAAGTCGATGTGCTTCTGGGAGTCAAGACGGACGACGAACGATGGGATGTTGACGATTTGCTTGCCGACGCTGTACAATGTTCAGAATCACGGCAGTGAAAAATAAGATGTACATACCGGATGTGACGTTGTCTGATCAAAACACGGGCGTGGTGAATGCTCTTTGCGAGGTTGGTCTTGAAGACCTGTGTTTGGAGACGACGTTCTAAGAAATCCTCCACCTTCAATGCCAACACGTAATCCAGACGCATGCGTGTCTCGTCCAACACACCGATCCGAACGAGCCGACGAATGAGGGCGTTACCCTCGAAGAGACGCTTGGGATCTTTGTCATCAAGTTTGAGCAGCTCACGGGCTGCACGACGGATTTTGGAAAGGATGAGACCGATACGCCAGATCTCACGCTTGTTTCGTAGACCGTACTCGCCAGCAAGCTGTCAGATGCAAAACATGAAATTTTGGATCTAGGATTCCGGGTTAACCATACCTTCAACTCAGCATCGAGGCGAGCTGAACCGAATGGGCGACGAGGGACTTTGTATCTGTAGGATTAATGCGATTCGAACAAGGCCATAAATCAGCAAGCTGAAAGCCTTCCACTCAAGTGGATCTTGAAGAATGAGACGCTCACGTCTTGCTGTGATTCCGCGGGGCCCTAAAAAGCTGCTCAACAGTCTATTCATCATGTTTAATGACATTCATACCTGGGCATTTTTCTTGAGGGATGGCCTTGACGGTGTACACAATGTTGGTGGCCTAATTAGGATGTAAGCCTCGCCTGTGCCACAACTGTAAAGTACCAAGCAAGCCACCCGGAGATTTCCGGTGCAACAAGCTTTCACATACTCAATATCGACACCGCCGCCGACGACATTGTACGTCTCCCAAATTTCATCCTAGCCCGTTGCTAACGTTCTACTCAAGCCCTCAAAATGCCTCACTCATTCGGTTACCGCGCGCGTACGCGCCACATGTTCAAGCGGGGCTTCAAGGGTCGGTACTTTGATTAAGCCCTTGACAGACTCGACGACTGACATTACGTGCAGACCATGGCCCCGTCAAAATGTCTACATACCTCATCAACTACCGCATTGGTGACATCGTCGATATCAAGGCCAACGCCGCCCAACAAAAGGGTATGCCTCACAAATACTACCACGGGTGCGCTACTTCAAAGTCACATCTATCCTCTATCATCTAATCATCTTCCAGACGGACTGGCATTGTCTACAACGTCACTCCCCATGCTGTCGGTGTCATTGTCTACAAGGTTGTAGGCAACCGCTACCTCGAGAAGCGGGTGAATCTCCGTGTCGAACACGTGAGGCACTCAAAATGTCGGCAGGAGTTTTTGGACAGGGTGAAGCGCAACCACGATGCACATGCTGCTGCCAAAGAGAAGGGTGGTAAGTGATCGTGACTTCCCGGTATTTGATGCACCTTATAACCCACCGTTCAGAGCGTGTATCGCTGAAGCGTGTCCACGCTCTCCCTCGGGAGGCACGCACCGTCTCGATCGCCCAAAACACGCCGCAAACGATGACGCCCGTTCCTTACGAGACCACCATCTAATCGGAATTGTGTTTGTGCTATTCATATGAGATTTCCACTATGCATCGTATACTACTGTCATGCTCCCATGCAATCATGACTTGAACGCATCATCACGGACGAATCTTACCAGATCAATTGAGCGAATGCTACGCCATATCACCCCAGTTCTTTAATCTACTAGGTTGAGTAGCTGGTTAAGATCAGCACAGTACGTGCAGATCAACACGGTCGACAAACCCAGTTCATTGCATCAGAGAACCTGTGAGAAGAAGATATCGTCATATATCGTTATATATCGTAATATATAGGAAAGGTTTTCGTCACATTGGAATATAAAGTGATATAAAGCAATATATGACTATGTAAAAGCACCATAATCAGCATAATCCCCAGCAAGAACTCACCGGTTTACTGATGTTGCCAGGACATATTTTGAAACGCAGTCCTAAGTATATGTAAATACCAATGAAGACCATAGATACCTATTTATGGCGAGAACGAATATCCATGCGTGAACACAATACATGTTTTGCTTGCGTATAATGCTAACTGAAGGTTTTGATGCGTGGGGTCAATGCTTTTTATCGGTGTCCTCGACTGGATCCAGGAACGGGTGGTGGGCCAAGGATGGGTGAAGATGTATGCTGGTCCGCTCCTAACATGCCAGCATGCTCAAGATACGAACCGCCATCAGATGAGCAGTCCCACATCGGAGTCCTCCATATGTGCACTGTACCGTCATGGCTGCCTGTCGCTAACATGCAGGGGTCGTCAGTGGAATGATTCCATGCGACACATGTCAAATCTCCGCCGAACGCCTGAGGTCTAATGTAGTGGAGCAAAATTGCAGTATCTCGTTCCCAAATATGGATATCGCCCGCTAAGACGGATGATTTAGAATCTGGATGTTTGAACAAGATCTTAGCCGAAACACACCTTTGCCGGCACACAGCACTAGCTGATCGTCCACACCGCCGAAGTAGCTCGGACCCACAAAATCCACACGAACCGTCGGCTCATACGTGTGACGGAGAATAAGCCTAGCGGTTTGGGCATAGGGGTTTTCACGGTCTTTAGTATCCCGAACCAACTCCATTTTCCATAACTGCGGATGTGTCTGCAAATATGAAACGGCGTGAATAGAGAATCTGATGCATATCCCTGTCAATATACCTTGTGCTCGAATGAAATCAATACATTTCCACCCCTTTTAGACATCGTGATGTCGCGCACATCGTTGAAGACAGGTGTTTGACTTTTGAATTCTATCAGTGGAAAGGTTCAGAGACGTTCAAAACAACTGACTTTTCGAATGTTCTAGTCTCCATATTGAGGACTGTGGTAGGTGGAGTCAAAAGGATCACTCGCGGATACGTATATCACTGACCTACTATACACTTCTCAACCCTAGTGGTGCGGCTTGGATGCATCCCGTTGGGTGCCGCGAGCAGTGGACCTACACCTAGCAACCGCTGGCCATCTGGACTCACAGCCACATTGTGCAACTGGATGCCACCGAAGTGGTAAGAATCAAGAACCTTGGAAGAAATTCAAACAAAATTCCTTTGGCGTAGAATGATCTAATCACCCTTCCTTTAATGTCCTGGTGATGGATCCATGAGTAACAAGGAGGCACGGATGATAACAGTTGCACTGACCAGTTTGAGAACTCTGCTACCTTCGACCGAAAGAAATTGTGCTATTGCAGGAAAGGATCAGCAACATGCAATCATGCAGAAAGGATGAAGCCAATCACTCTCGTTCGCAGGAAGCCATACAACGGATGACACTGAGTGCGGACGTTCAATTGTTCTCTTACAGAATCCGTCCTCTGTCCAAACCTTGATTCCACGGGGTAACCTCGTCAAAAGAAGGGTACTAGAATCGGACCTGTCCGTTCATGTTTGATGTTTAGAAACAGAGGAACATTTGTGCGCCACATACCATGCAACCTGACCGATAAAGCCTCCCACGTGTACTAGAATGGCATGAATTGAAAAAGCATCCTAGGCAGGAATAGTGTAAACAAGTGTGGAAACGTGGCACTTCATATGCTTACCTCAACACGAAAGATGACAGAAGATCGATCCCAACTTAATGCTTCACCTCAGCACGAGAAGCTCCGAAGAACTTGTCACAACGCACCTTGACGTAGCTAGATATTTGCCACTCGGGGAGAATTGTAAATGCCGGACAAGGGCGGTGTGCACGGAGAGGTCTTGTACAGGCTCTAGGGTTTTAAGTTTTGGAATTAAAGTGGCTCGCGGTCCTCGAATGGCGTCCAAATCCACTGACGAGGGCCGGGTAGGAGACATCCCCACGGCAGAGTTCCAGTCAAAGGATGGGATCCGTTGCGGCATCATGGGTCGTCCTGCTTTCTGCTGTTGCATTACGATGATAGAACGCACAGCTCCTCTGAAGCGCTGACGGGCGATGGCTGGGTGAGATGGCTTGCTATCCTCACTCGCAAGCCCTTTGATCGAGGTGGGATGCTCAGTAAAAGCCGAGCTTGCGGATGTAGAGATGTCACGGCGGTGAGAAAGATCATCCATCGGCGGGCCCTCCTGCATAGTAGGCAGTGTACGGTCCCTATGTCCAATCTGGGTAATCACGTCGGGGAACTTGAGAGGCACTCGTCTTAACAGACCGCTAATGGCGAAGAGGCACCAACGAATGATATCTCGCATCACCACGACTAGAGAAAAGCGGAGTACGCGGTGGATTACTTCATTGATTGCTTCATTGATTGCATCATCCAACCAGATTTGACCATGGTAGCGAACAAAGACCCTGCGCTCCGAGACGAACCAAGCCGAAACAACAGCCAGGCCGAACGAGGTAACTACCTGTGATTCGGGTAAGGATGCGTTTCAAAAGCAACTCGAACTATCCATGGACTTACTGTGAAAACAGTGGTGATCGTGGACGTGACGAATCCCTGAGTGTGAATGTTATGTCTCGGATATCTTCTGCAGTAGAATGGTCCCGTACCTGTTTTGTAGCATATGTGAATAGCATCAAGCCCACGGAAAAGCATGCCACAGACATCACGAGAAACACCAAAGGCGATCGTTTGATCCATATTAACACCCACCAAGGTACCTTATGGCCTGGAGAGCGACTGAGGACTATCACTTGACCGAATACAAGAGGTACATGGAATAAACTTACTAGACTGCTTGCTTCCAGGTGAGACCAAGAAGACTGTTCACAGCGGCTGCTATACTGAAAACCAATGAAGAGAACCAGAACGCATTGACAGAAGTCTCCAGCACGCCGTCCGTCAACTGGTATGAGAACTGTAAGGTCGACGCTGTCACAACTGAAAAGAATGTCGCGACTGTCGATAAGTTTAGCAAGTTCGATGCTGCATGCTGCTGGGCAAATCGAATTGTCGGAACACCTGGAAGAAAAAGTAAATATAAAATTAGTAAGGAGACTAGTTGTCTACCGATTTCAATAAACATGGACAGATTGACTGTGATTATATCGATGTGCTCCCCAATCTCCGATGTCAAATCATGGATATAGCGCTGCACTGCTGGATACCGAAATTGACCTGAAACTAGTTTGCACGATTCTCAAGTGGATCAGCCGGAGGCACACTACCTTTGTACTCCTGAAGACACGAGGCCCAATACTAGACAACACGGTAAACAAAGAAATCGACTGCATGTCCGGCCAAAAAATTACCTTCAGATCGCATTCGAAAGTACGCATTGACGTATTGACGGCCTCGTCTGTAAACTCCGGGAACTCGTTCAGGCAGTTCAGAAACGTTACGACGTCTTCTGCGAAGCCAGCAATTTGGTCGGGAAAACTTTCAGGATCAGTGTGGGCTTTTGGAAACATTTGTTTGTCTGTGCGCCGTTGCTCTGTCCACTGATGAATGATGGGCGCTTCTCGAGGTTGACGCGAGATCTTTTGGGGAAACAAAGTAGCTGCGTTCTCGCGGAACAGAAATAGCAATTTCGCAAGGCGCTCTCGTAGTCGAAAACTAGAGGATAAGATTCCGATTGAACTGCCAAGTTGGCGAGCAGCATTAGCAAAGTTGCGCAGCTACACAGAAGATAAGTGTCAGAGTATAAAGTGTACCTAATCATATTCCCACCTCTTTGTCAAGATTTTCTATTCGTCTATCAAGACCGCTCAGTGTGAAAGACAAATGTACGAGGGCATCCCTACCTCTCAAGTTTATTGAATAATTCCGATCCTGCGATTTGCAGTTTTTCGTCTACTGTCGCTGAACAAGAACATAAGGCCATCATTGTGTGTTGCACTGGCCGATACTCACGATCGTCATCCTCCAAGGTAGGAGGAAGGAAGGTATCTGAGGGTGTACGATTAGCAGTGTGTGATGGCCAGTGGGGGTGACTAACCGCTGTCTAGAGAAGACTCAGTTACTAAATTCGTTCAGGACATTCAAGAGACTGATGATAGCCTGATTCCGTCTCGAGTCTCCATATGCTTCACCTCGAGGGTAGGAGTTGGGTGCACCTGAAATACTTGAAGCTGCGTCACGGAAAGAACGAGCTGTATGAACTACCCCAATGTGTTGAATCCAAGTTGGAATGATCATGGACTGTTCCCTTGGGATACATACCTCGTAACATAGTGAGCCGGCACTAAGTGTTCGTTGCGTCCTGAGATGCAAAGGTGGAAGGATTGGAGAATCTAGTCCTGACACCCAGGGAGGGGAAGAAGCGAGTGAAATAAGGTCCTTTAAATACACTCTGCCCAGCTGAGCAGCCTTATAGATAAGGACAGCTCGTAAAGGTCGTAATGAAATTATTCGTTCACTCAACCTATCTCCGGACTGAGGAATGGTTTGAGAAGGTTTGAGACGACGGCATGTTATCGCTAGAGAACCCAGCAATTGGAAGCGTGATGGCCTTGCGGATTGTATACAGGGCGGTGACAAACCCTGACGTCAACGTGGGGGTGATCTCTGCAATTAGAGTGTCGCCAATGCTGATACGGAGTAAATCAATGGATGCGCGGCGAATCAGGCTCGAAACACGTAAATATGGGCCGGGAGGGAAGCTGGTAAGACCACTTATGGGCAAGTTTCAAGGCCAAGTGGTGTGCACGCTACACAACTACTGATGGCGATCAAAGGTGTGGAAGCAACGTTTTCAGGAGTGAGGTAAATTAGGTGAATGGGTCCCAAAACTGAAACTGAAAAGACGCTTAGCCATCACGATGGACGCAGAGCGGTAAAGTGTTGTCAGTGTTACGTATTAGGTGGTTGCAGGGAAAGTTATTACCGCATTATTGAACGCTTCCGAGTCCTTCTTTGCATTACAATGGTAGGCTCCGGGAAACGAGCACTGGATGAGTACAGCGCATAGGCTCAGGCTCGACCTGAGTATCAGCGATTCAGTATGTCTTCATTTTCAGAACGCCCGCAGTGGTCAGTGCTCAGATGAATCCCGCAGCATGTGCATTTGACCGAATCACTCGCGGAAGTTCAAACAGACGCGGATATGACTCTAGCCTTACTATGTGCTTCGACTGAGATCAGTTTCTTGCGGACAATGGCTAAGTCCATTGACTCCTTCATGACGGATGTAGGGATGAGGTGGAGTCTCACGAGTTGGCACAAATAGTCAACCAGGTAGAAGGAACGACAGTCTTCTTTCCATCAAGGTCGTCCGACTGTTGTGAAAGAATACAGGTCAGCAGTCGTATCCCGTTCTTATGAGATCATCATTGACTCTGCCAAGAGTGCTTGCTGATCCGGTAACCTGTTGATTTGTAGATCTGCTCTACGATTCTGCCCGTAACACTGCCAGTAAACAATTGCCTCGCGATTGAGGCGAGAGCGAGGATCCCGTTCTTGATAGCCATGATCCAGGACTTGAGTCATTCAACCGCGGACATGGGCAGCTCCCTTCTTGTTCGCGAGCGGTATGGACAGCAACGCCACGGGCGGTCAGTTTTGTTTATAAATATCCAAATTGTCTCTCGAACCCGTCCGAGTCACTGATGACTGCGTGACACGTGTAGTAAACAAAGGTGCACTGTGGACCGTGGTGATCGGATGAGGGAGTTCTCAAGTGCGTTTTAGTGACATCCCCATGCAATACTGCACAGTGCGAATACAAATTATACGCATTTGTTACCACACGCACACGCACACACGGTTTCAGCAGGTATCCCTCAACCTTGCAAGCCCCTATGGGTCTATTGAAGGTTCCTTAGCCATGCTGTTTATTCAACTTACGCTTTTTAAGCGCCGAACTTCCATTTCAAGTTAGAGGTACATCGTGCATCGTGGAACAGAGGTGGCTGCTGGACATCTGTTGTGCTTGAAAGGGAGTCGTGCCACTTCATGTCTATGGTTCGTCGCTTTTCTTGTGGTTTCAATTGGAAAACAGGTTTAAGTTTACAGCTCTGATACTCTGTAATCACGGCTTGAAGGACAAGCCAAGGCACTTAATCGGTATCCTCATTCCTGTGGTACGTTGTCTTTATGTAATAGTAGCTCCGGACATAGCCACGAGTGTTACACGGACACAGAAGAGCACAGGTGATTACTTCGAAGGCGATGCTGAATGATTACATCGCTTAGAATTCGCTGGGCGCCGAGCCTTGAAGCACCCGCAGCAACCTCCCTCGACTGCAGACACGTACTGCTGAGTCTGTGGATGTGACATAATTCGTTCAAGGCACAGTGTGTCACGTCAAGGTGACTGGGTAGCTGTACGTGGCGTCTACAGCATCGCGCCCAAAAATATTATAAGGATGCCAGAATCAGGACGGAGGACGTTTTATTCGATACCTCTCTCGCTACGCAATCCGCGATCATGCAGCGGATTTATTGGTTGACCCGTGTGCGACAGCAGTGCCCAGTGATTTCTGCGCGAGGACTTATTCCGTCGCGAATTGGACGTGTCAAGATTAGAAACCTCGATGTTCGATTCCATTCTACGCACTCGCGACAAATGCCACAGGCAGACAATAATTCTTCCTCCCCACCAGGCGGAAGTGGTACTTGGAGCAAAGTGGATCCTTCGCTAGTCGTTGACATTGCGCTAAAGACCCTGATAGGGCTGGGCGTCAGTAAGTGCACTCTCAGTCGATCCGCACACCGATCAACTTCTTCTAGTTTTTATCGGGGGAAATTTATATGTGTTTTGGTACAAACATAGCGTCCTTTCAAAGGTGAGGATAAGCGATGAATTATACAGGCAAACGTATCTGATGTGGTCTTACAAGATTGAAGCAGCATTCAACAAAACATGGGATGATGCAGCCCTAGTGCAATTAATCAAGCAGGAGCTATCGCGGTTTGACCTTCTGACACCTGACCTGGAACATGCTAGCTTGCAGAGCTTGGCGGCAAAGCTCTCCGAAGTACATCCGCGGCGACAGGAACAAGACTTCGTCGATTCCATTGTGAAGGGAGAGATGGCAGGTTCCTATTTTCTCCTTGTCGGACCGAAGGTGAGATACTCGTGTCATTACCTCACGCGCTAGCGTGGTCTGACAGTAACTTTTATGATTCAGGGGGCGGGAAAGTCTGGAATGGTATTCGATGCAATGCTGAATATACGTAACAAAGGGGCAGTATTTCTTGAGGCCCATCCCGACCTTGAGGTGTTTCGTTTGCGCCTAGGAAATGCTTTAAACTATGAATTTAGCGAGGATATGCAGGCGGGACTGTTCCAGAGACCGGACCCTCGATCCGGTATGACATCATCTATTGACGCTTTAGGTGTTACAACTAATATCAGTTCACAGGCGGTCCCGCGATGGATATTGAACGCGGTGCGTGTTCAAAGAGGCTACAAGTCTGCATTGCAATTTAACCTGGCAGTGCAGCACTAGATAAGCTATATGAAGTTGCTATGCGAAATGGACGTCGTCGTCCGCTCGTTCTCGTCATCACCAAAATTCAGAATTTTCAAAACGATGACCAAGGCCGAAATCTTCTTTTACAGATCCAACAGTACGCTGAACGTTGGGCCATAAGAGGTAGCGTGCTCATGACACATACTTCAGCAATCTTTCTCAACTTTATTGAGGCATTGTCACTGTTGTATTCACCACGTAAAGCTACCTGTCTCTTTGCGCAGCATTATCTGATGAACATTTTAGGGATGATGTATGGCCGTATACTTTATTGCGTGAGTCGCAAGAACAACAACTCGCAATCCCACTACTGACCTTTTGGCAGGCAAAGCAGCAACTTTGATGGAAGTCAGTTATGCAGTTGCGTAATAACATGCACATGCTTACTTTAGTAATTGTGTAGGTGCGCTCTGTCCAAGATCTGGACTGGGAAATGTCAAAGCGTACTCTATTGTGCAGACGGCCAGACGCTGAAAATGTAAACAGTGTCGTGCACGTTGTGGGAGGACGTCAATCCTACCTCAATAAGGTGTCCAGGGCCGAAGAGATGCTGCAAGCTGCGGAGGACCTCCTGCGCTCGGAGAAGGCGTGGCTTGAGAACTGCCTCGGGCTGATACCAGATTGCGACAATGATGGAGAAGTTGTCGTTCAGGTATGTTTGGCGATCATGATAGTTGCAGAACTTTGAAGATCAATCTCTACAGCAAAAATGGAGCCTGCACTGCTGGACTTTACTCCGAGAGTTCGTACGTCTATACAGAGTCAACCAGAGGGAATCGGGGGACTCTTGGGATCCTCTAAAACTCCCCGTTATCCCAGCGGTATGCTATTTGATTTGTTTTCTGAGAACCATGCTTCATATGGTTGACACATTTACAGTGGCGATGTCAGCAAATCATGACACGGCCCGATTATTTGGACGGTAAGATGAATTTCACTAAGCTCGCTTACCCGGTCTCAAGTTTCTCAATTTAGAGCTTGATAGATTGGACGTGGTTTATATCGACGTTAGTGCCACAGTATCGTGATGGACCTTTCTGACATCATACACGTACATCTTAGATGAATTCAAACGTGCAGCCCGACTCAATGCTAGTCCTCCGCGCCGCTTTAGACATCGTTGAGAAGGAGGGCTTCGATGAGCTCCTAGAAGATGTCCGCTGCAGAATAAAGGAGATAGAGAATCTACGGCGATGAAGGGTTCCTTGGAACAGGGCATACACATATTGACTGGATTCGATCTGTCATAAAACAGGAAAAGGAAAGACCAGCTAGTAGTGGTTTTTTATCTTTATGGTGATTTCTGTACACCCTGCATCTTCAAGAAAATTTCAGGGCGAATATGGCATCACTAATTATTATAGCCCTACTCAATAACGATTTTATTTGGCCATTTTATTTCATGACAGTTCGTGCAAAAGCTTCCGAATTAAAATGCAAATAAAATGAACAAGCAACACGTTCGACACGCACATAGCGGCACTTGAAATCAGCTAAGTGAGGCGCAGGGGTTCCGATTGTGCTCATCGGCGCAGGCGTCGTTGAAACACGTTCACGCCACCATGACAGATAGTTCCCCGCACGCTATAACGTCTCTCGAAGCACTTGCCATCATCTTGTCATCATGCTTACGAAATAAAATCGTTATCGAGTAGGGCTTATAATAACTCATTGTCCACGCCCACTACTACTGTCAATGTGCCACCGTAATTAACCGTGGGTGAATTCGGCCGGGCTTACAACTCATCCATCGAAGTCTTGGTACTTCTATTCTATATGCAGGGTGGCATCGATTGTGGCCAAGGAGCAGCTCGGAGACTAGATGGTTAATATCAATCATTGTTTTGAAGTAGGTTGCATAGCCAGATACACTAGTACCACTATGACTGATCAGTAATTTTCATCAGTTTTGATGGGAAATTAGAAATTTCCAATTGTGGATGCACATGAACTTGCCATGAAGTGCCTGGATCATGTGGATGAGCAATGAATGAGCGATCGATACTAACACTACAGCCGCTGTCTTTGTGCGGAAATTGTCACCAACGGTCGACGTCCAACCTTTATATATCATGATGAATCTTTGCTGCTGCACGCTTTTTCGCCCCCTCCTTCATTCATTCTCTTCAAATCATGGCTAGTTTGCCAACAGTATACGGTGCTGTTCTTCTAGGTGGATTTATTGCTTCTGTGTATGTAACACTCAGCCTGACTCGCCCTACGGATTCTGACTGATATGTGGATCACGCCAACAGATTATCTGGGGTCATAACGGCACAGACAGTTACTTACATCAAGCAATACCCCAATGACACAAGCATTACAAAATCGATTGTGAGTATTGCTTCTTAGTCTGTTCTAGAGTGTCCACGCTGACTGTTTGTATTCCGACACGGGACAGGTTGCTGTAATTTGGTTTGTTTCGTCGCTTTTCCGCTCCTCGCAAAATGTTCAATAGAGCATCTTGTTCAGGATATTAGACTCCATTCACACCGGTCTCGTGTGTACAACATCATGGATTTTCATGGTACAGTGGTTCGGTGATGACAGCAAAATAGACTACATACCTGTGTCTGTGTTTTGTGTGCTTATCGGCCCGTTTCACGTCTGATTTTTTTTTTGCTCGTCATTCAGTCCATTAGCAATATCCGTTGCGCTGACAGTGAGTTTCATATTTCGTTAAGCGTCATTATGATCTCACAGAACCAGGCTTTTCTTACTTTGATTGTGCACTGGTGCGCTGCTGTTGTCCTGTATAAATCCTGTATACAAACACCATTTCAGGTTCTTTGCGCATCGAATTCACAAGCGTAAGCTTCACCTCATACTATGGGACCTTGTCGCTTACCTAGTGAGCTTCAGTGACCCATAACGATTGGCGGATCAGTGGTCCTATTGTAAGCCTCACCCTTCGATGTTTAGAATGACATGGCTGATTGCGCCGCAGATTGTATTCGCTTTCTTGCGATTGGGTAAGTCAACCTGAGGCTTTTGTGTGCTCTTGCTCACTAGGCTATACCACCAAGTTGCTGCACTTGGTGAGTTACCTTACATGCGGACCCGAATTCATTGCTTGATGCCTTTGCGTACTAGTCAGCACCGTTGAGATGTGAGTTCTTTCGCCGTACTCCTTTACATAGAACGAAACTGAGTAATATTCAGGATCGAACTGAAGACGATGACTGCATTCAGACACAAGGTTGAAGTAAGTTCTCGTCTTTTGTACTCTGGGGCTTTCGATAATCTCTGTATTCTCCCTACTAGTGGGTGTTTACCATGGGTCTCATATTATCATGTGTGGTGGACGTCCTCGTCACTGCAGGTCTGTGCTTCACGCTGCGCAGAAATCGTTCGTATTCCAAGTGGGTCGCATCATATTAGGCGGCCTGGATGCGAAGCTTACATGCCTGGGTAGCATGAACCGTGTAATCAACACCATTGTCTTGTATACATTGGAGAACAATGCGCTCACGAGGTGCGCGAAGCTCAATTTGTCCATGATTGTATATTCATGTATTGTTTATTATGCATAGTGTCGCCATCATTATCTCGATGATATGCGTAAGTGAAGTCATCCACTGTGATGTGCCTGTCTCCCATTTGACACTGAATCATGGTAGTGGGTGACCATGGACAACCTCATCTTCCTTGGGGTTCATTTTGTGCTCAGCAAACGTGGGTGTTTTACGGTCCATCTGTTTTCTGTCGCTGAAAACGTTTTTCAAAATTCAGTTTACGCTAACTCTTTGCTAGCAACGTGAGCAGCGCGGCGCAGTTGAGAACGAAGTTTGACTGTGTTTTCTAGCTTAAATTCTCGCAAACAACTTCAGGAAGAACGCTCGCGTGGACTGGGAGTCCTTTCGAACGAGCTTCCGGTTGCTTTTCCCAACAGGTACCAATCCAAGTATTCGGTAAGTTTCTTTCTTATAACTGCACAACTGCACGCTAACAAGACAAAGAAACGTTTAGATCCTGGAAACAAGGTGATGTGTCATAGCTGTCGTGAACTCTAGGTATGACTAACTTATTCTCAGTTGGAAATCAACGTAGAAGCGGACTATCGAGTATGAAGGAGCCGATGACTTTGCGAAAGGAAGTCCGCACATCCCTTCGGAAACTCCACCCTCAACAGCTGAACCGAATCACGTCCCGTCCGAAATAATTTAGTGACTATCTCACCACCGCTTCCTCCTCGTGAATGCTACAGCGAGATCTCCTTAACTTATCTTCTCCTTACCTCTTGGTCGATATCCGATTCTCTTCCATCCACACGACAAGCAAATCACTTCATTGTACACGTCTCCTCTGTGTTTTTGTGCATATTAATAGACATTTATCTTCTATGCGCATACGGTTGGTCCAGTTGGACCACGACTGGGGGGACTACATTTCGGCACTGTGCAGAGATCAGGGGTATGGTGTTGTGTGGTGAGGTGTAACGATTAACGTACTAAAGGTCCCTTGGCCCTTGGGGATACTTTGAGTTCTTTGATCGGCGGTTCGAGACCGGGATTACATAAAGTAATTTCGAGGAGTTGCTCTGCAAATTGGCAATATGTTATGCGGTAACTGAAATGACACAAGTACTTAAGTTACATGCAGGGCAGCGTTTGAAGAATGTATCGAACATCCAAGCGAATGCGAGTCCTCGGAGCCGGACTATGTAGTGGTGTATGAACCTGAATCAAAATTTGGTGAATCAAAAGCAAATTTTCATGTTTTACCACCGTGCCTCTTCACCTCAACGTTAACGCTGCTGTCCGAGGAGTGGCATCAACTTGCGTTTTGGACTTTGACTTGTTTATTTTGAAAACCAACCGTATCGGCGTCTCCCACAAACCAACGTTCTGTTGCTATACTTTATGAAACGTTAGGTCGAACTCACCGTTGCCAGTGAGTGCCGAACCTATCGGGAAATTTTGATCAACGTAACATAATAAAAGAAGAGTGTTCTTTTTGGAATAGCTCAAGGAACGTGATATAAGCCGCTGATAGGCGAAGACTGGCGTGGCCTCGACACTGGTGGCCTGCCCTCTCGGTGCTGAGGGATGCGAGCCTGTCAACTTGAAGTGAGTATGAAGAGATTTTCTAACAGTCGGGTTGCGAAGCTTTGCTTGTCAAAATCCTGCTCAAGCTCGACTAAATTGATGCAATGACGGCATGTTAATTAGTGGGCGCCTTATTTTTGAGACATGGATCATAACATCTTGTCAGAGCAATCTGAACCTGGAACAAAAAAACACGGCAGTTACGTAAATGTCCGCAAAAGGGCAATACGTTAGAATTCATGTCCCCTCATTCGTTCTCGCTGGGGCCTACGATGCCGTTGAATAGTATTGCCTCTGGAATACTGGGACCTCATGACTACATTAAACCCTCTTAAAACCCATTCTCTTCGCCTGTGTTCAACCTCAGTTCGTTTTTCCTCCCGCTCGCTATTTCTTCATACTTTGTGCCCTCTTTTATCCTTTTCGTATTTCGATTCTTCTTCTTACACACAGACTTCCTGTGCAATATGGTTAGCGTGCCTGCGACATATGGCGCCCTCCTTCTCGGCGGTTTCTTGGCCTCTGCGTAAGTTTTAACTTAATCCCGTCTGTCCACTAGTCCTGATGGGTTTCTCGCTACATGCTAGACTTTCGGGGATCGTTACAGTACAATCATTCGTTTACTTTAAGTTATACCCCACAGATCTACCCTGGAGGAAGGCCATCGTGAGTGGCACATAGTGATCTGTTGCTTCGCTGAACCTTTGACGACTGGTGTTTTTCGGACAGGTTGCTGTGATATGGTCAGTACCTTCAGTGAACATGACTCTCAAGCACTAACACTAAGTTACCGCATGTTCAGGACATTGGATAGTGTTCATACTGCATTGGTTTGTGCATCGATATGGATTTATCTGATACAGAACTTTGGCGATACATCGAAGATAAATGATATACCTAAGTACGTCCTTTCTTATCACAATTGTCTGTTCTCTGTTTGACCACGTTGTGCAGCACCGTGGCGGTGCGTAAATTCGATCCAAGTCTACACACGCTCTGATTTTAGTCTTGTGTCAGATGACAATAGCACTGACTGTGAGTCTCAGACACTTGTCATTCTCAAACACGATCAAAGTTTCTGACTAATTTTGCAGGCAATATTGACGTTCATTGTCCACTGGTGAGTCTTTGGTGATACATGTTCAGAAATTAAGATTAAACCGTGCAGCTTTTTTGCCCATCGCATACATAAACGTAAGCTCTCCGATTGATCGTTATATTAAACGCATACCACGTTCCGTTCCAGTGAGCCATTGTGATTGGCGCATCACCGCTCCTCTTGTAGGTCTTGTCCTGTTCAAATTGGATGAATGCTGAACGCCCTTTGTTGAAGTTGGTCTTCGCATTTTTGCGGTTATGTGAGTCACCTCGTTCTTCTTCAGGCCTCTTGAAATTAAGGGTTATTTTTAGGTTCTGCCTCTGGTAGGTCAGCGTTATTGACCACGATACGATGTGCTAATCTATTTTTGTCGCTGTAGTAACGACGGCTGAAATGTAAGTGGATGATATGTGGTGCTACACAACAATCATAACGTTGCATAGGATTCATCTGAAGACCTTCACAGAGTTCAAGCGGGAATTCCGAGTAAGTGCCACGTTTTGTATCACAGTGCCATGTAACATTGTGGGAATGTAGTGGGTTTTCACGTTGGGTCTTGCACTGTCATCTCTCGTCGACGTTCTTATTGCGGTGTTCCTTTGTCACTCGTTGCGAGCTAACCGCAAAGCTTCTTCGAGGTGAGTTCACGCTCCGTGCACATTCGCGAAGGCTTACACGAACAGTATGGACTATGTCATAAATTCCGTCATCTTGTATACATTGGAGAACAATTCCCTCACCAGGTAATGCTGAAGCTTGGTCAATTCGAGATTATCAGTTGCTCACTATTTGTACCAGTGCCGCAACCGTCGTCTCCATGATTTGCGTGAGACTGATGGTCATTCGTTTCCTGTTGTATCTCTAATCGATGTTGACCCTACAGTGGCTTGTAATGCCTACCAACCTCATTTTCATGGGACTGCATTTCGTCATCAGTAAATGTGCGTCGGTTATTCTAATGAAATGACGATTACTGACCCACATTTTGACCTGTAGTGTATGCGAACTCCCTGTTGGCTACGTACGTATACTATAAACTTTTCGTTTATATGCATATCCGATATTCACTTTGGTCAGATTGAACGCTCGGAAGCAACTCCGGCAAGAGCGAGCCCAGAGGGGCTTGTCAGCAGAACTCCCTTTGGCGTTCCCGGGCTTGGCGCCGTCAAATCGCTTCCACTCAAACCACCATAACTCCGTGAGTGACCAGAAAAGAAATTATTGGTCTAGCTCATTCTTGCTGCAGTCGCGGGTGGATCCTATTGGAACCAAGGTCCAATTTTTCACCTTTGCCATAAGGTTTATCTGACTTTTACTGCAGCTGGAAATCAACGTCGAGAAGACCGTGGAGTATGAGGTAGATGTAGACATCGTGACGAGTCACTCTCCATCTCCTTCGACGATCTCTCCGAAAGCTTTCTGCCACCCATCTGAAGCGATCTCACAAATGGCTTAGTTCGCAACCTCCTGGACCCCTTTTCATCCTATTGTCGTGTCGTAAATCTTCTTTTATATATGTCCATCTCTGGCTGTCAATCATTTTTACACCTGTCTTTATCGAAGAGCTGTACTACCTTCCTTGCTATGTAGCATCACACATCGTCCCATATCTAATGTTATCTCTGCGTTGTCTGTTGGCTGCATTGAATTATGTGAAAGTCTTAGCGACGTTCAGCAAATCATGCACTTCAAGCCAAATTACTCAGGCTTGCTAAATTTAGTGTCAGTACTGGAATGCTGTTTTCCCAAGTGTTTTCCGGCATTGAAGATTACGCGTCCCCTGTCGCCGAGCGACCCACAGCTAACCTGTCCTACGTGCACAAGTTCTTTCCAAACCGCCATCATGTCTTCATCCATTGCTTTCCCCTCTAGGTAAGTCCCTCCGCGCTCGGCAGAATGGTGTCTTACATCACTATTTTCAAGTTTCGGATATGTAGCAGCTGGACTGGTATCCACTGCTTGGGTTCTTGGCTGGCAGGCACTAGTTGTAGGCGGCCACAGAAAAAAATCCGGAATCAAGTACCCTCAATGTACGTGCTGTTGCTACTGAGTAATGCTGGAATGCTCAACAAGGGTGCTTTGCAGTGTATGCCGAGAAAGCAGAAGCTGATGCTTCTAAAGAAGCCCTCCTCTTTAACTGTGCCCAACGTAAATCATCATTCACCGAATACGTGGTCCCGTTCATACTCACGATGATTCTTAGGCGCCCACCAAAACACGATTGAGCACATGCCTATTATTATTGTGACGTGAGAGTTGTGCTGAATCCCTGCATATCTTCTCTCATCTGCGGCTGGTTTAGCACTTTGACAACTTCGATGAGACACCCAGTCTTGGCCGGATATGCATGTGGTTTATGGGCACTGTCCCGTGTTCTGTATACTCTAGGGTACACCACTGGAGATCCAGTCAAAGTACGTGAGACTTGATCCTTTTTGGAATCACCTGCTCATGATGTCCGTCACGGTGTAGCGTAATACACGCGGTGGCATACTTGGCGAACTTCCTCTTTTTGGTATGTGCTTTTTAAATAGTATCACACCGGGTGTTGATGTAGCGACCGTGTCCACTAGTACTTTTGCTGGGCTCCACCTACACGGCGTTTGATCTCCTACGTTCTGCTTGAAACATTCCCGTTGCAAGATTCAACACATCTGATGTGACGGGAGAAATATGTACATGGCTCGATAAATATGTGCAGAACGTTGGACAATGATGATCAAAATTATAATTTGACACGGAGAATGAAATTAGCTTGAGCCAAGATAAGATTACCATCAACGTACAACCGATCCACATCCCTTTTAGAGTTCCAACGAACCTGGGCGATCGACTGCGAATCGTTTGTTTCATGCTCCACTAACTCAGTTCACACTCTGCAGTCTGCCTGCAGGTATGAATGCTAATCTCGCCACCGTGACAATCGATGTCGTGCGTACCCACTCGTTCTCTCCTTGTCAAAACCTCTGATACGACGCTAGCCCAGATCCTCGACAGACACAGCGCCAAAGAGGTTCCCACCGCAATTCTTCACTCGATACTTTTCCATAGGCTGTTCGGCACTGTGAAGCCTCAGACATTCGAGGTCCTTGATGTCACCATGGTGAGTTTCCTAGGTTTCACACCGCTCGACTAGGAGCACCAAGTCGTCATTATGCCTCAGCCAGGTGTTTCGGATCCTGAGATGGAGCAACTCGTGACTGAGAAAGTGGATATCTTTTGGAAAGGCATCGAGAGTGGCGCAAACAAACGTGGCCAAGTGAGTTTTTCTTTCTTGTCTATCGTGTATAGAAGTTGAGTCCCTGTTGATCTCATTCTTCATTCAGATCATAGTAACATTTTCGGAGAAAAAGGCAAAGAAGTCCTGGTTTCAGGTGTACGTCGGGGAGGAGGAAGTGCCATGGGAACAATGGTGTTTTTCTTTGGTGGTTCTCGTTGGACGGAGCGGCTGACGTGTGTACGACAGGATTGTGAATGTCGAGATACGACAACCCAAATCAGAAGGTGAGGATTTCTCCGTCTGACGCAATTTTGTCGTGACATTATCGATTACAGACCGGCAAGAGTTTAATGCAAATATTGCGTCGACGCTTTTGAAAGCTTTGAACGTGATGCTGACCCATACTTCGTCGGAGCGCGGGCGCACGGCCGTTCCTCTCATCACGAACGCGACAGGGATATCTCCTTTTCCAATCAAGATTGTAGTTAAAGTTGGTGGGGCTGAGCTTGGGTAGTGTGTATAGCTTCCGTGTTGTGCAGAAAGATATTGCAGATGCGATAAGCACAAGATGTATGTTTCAAGACTTTGTATTGATTATTTGTTCGATTTACTGGCGCTACTTATCTCTGGCGTTCGTCGTGGCTACAACATGTATGAGGAGGCACTACACTTCTAGAATTGGCATCATCACACAAGGGCTGGATGCGGTGACTTACTCCCCAGGCTGTGTACTGTCTCGACGAGCATCGACAATCTTGTCAGTCGTCATGCCCGTCCGCTTGAGCATTGTAGCATACGGAGCTAGCTCTTGGATTGTCATGATTGAAAACGAGAAATAACAATGATCATTTGACGAGCGCAAGCCTAAATCTACATGGCACAAAACAGAACGAGGGATGATGAGAAAACCGAGTGTTGAAACCCGATACAGTCTGCAGTGCTCAGCAGTTGAAGCTGGAGTGCCGAGAATAAGCGCATAGCATGGGGGAAGAGCATCAGAAACAAGGAAAAATCACAGTCTGCACTACTCAGGAGTTGAAGTTGGCGTGTTTGGTATCATGCACAATACGAGCGCATAAGTATGGGGAAAACGCATCGAAAAACAGGAAACTTGGTCCATATCTAGGACGGTTACCAATATCGGGATAAGTCAATCTGAACCACTTACTCTGCAAGCGTACATGATACTTAGGACGGGCACGGTTTTCGGGCTTGTACAACTCATTCAAAACACGCATTTGTGAACAGTTCTTCAACGCGCTGGGCAATCCTCTTTGAGCATTCTTCTCCTGATACCCCTCGTAGTTGCTTCTTGATGTCTCCATACGTAAACGCACGTAGAGCTTCGAACTTGGTGAAAACCGCGACCACGGAAACTGAAGATCTATCATTTAGTCTGAGGCTCTGAGCACAGCAAGTGACAATAAAGTTGCAAGCTCACCATGCCCAGTGTCGCACTCCAAGAAGAACTTCTCTTCCGACCGCTGGAATGTTTGACTTGAGTCGTCCATTGGAATACAATACCTGATGGCAATCAGCAAGCGCGGAACATCAGAAGGAAGTTGCTTACCAGATAACATGGATTCGCTCCTCTAATTTTGTTGTGTGTACATTGCAAGACAAATCTTTGCATGTTCTCAAATTCTTCTTCAGAGCCCGCTTCGAAACCGCACGAGTCATGAAAGACAAAATCGGGATTGCTCTTGAACACCATCTCATTTGTGATGTCGTGATTTCCGCGCTGAGTGTCCGTCAGCGCAAGTATGCCCACAAGGCAAATGATGCACACACCTTGATCGAGGATCTCACGATGGCAGCATCGATCTACCCACAATTGATCAGCGATAGATACATGCATGACATAGATCATCATCCGCACCTTCTTCCTTTGGAATTGTATATTTCTGGGTCGTCCGTGGTGTTGCAGACCTTCTGAAGAATGGTCGTTTTGCCTGCGTTTGCTCTCACTGCGATCAGAACTCGAAAGCGACCAATCGCCCTTCGGAGGTCCTGGGCATCGATGGTTGCCATTGGGAAATCTTGGTGTGCGTCCTGAGAGGTGATTTGGTTTATCGTGAAACCTTTCCTGTGAGAACGAGGTCGTGGCGAGATATGGCAGTGAACGAACAGAAAGCAAGAGTTCCTGTGGCTTATGACACAACAGCTACACACGGCGTCTATCTCTTATTTATCTCCCTGCATCAGACCACTCGATTATAGACACGGAGTTGCAATTGTTCGATCGTTCGTACGATAAAGCACAAGGATTACACAACAAATGACGTCGAACAATGAAAACGTTGACAGAAATCTGCACTATAACGAATGATCAGAATACGATGGAAACGACAGAATTTCACTCTTCCCTACCCGTCTATACAGCCTAACTTGAAAAGGCAGCGATACCAAAAATGTCTGTAGATGGAGGTGAACTCGATCTTCCAAGGTCTTCCAGATTATTGATCCTTAAAACATCTCGAGAGCACACAAAATGTGAGACGCCCGCTAGAATGGGTGACATCCTGCGATGCTCGACAGGGTCTGCGTGACGTCTGGAGTTCCCTCGGGAAGATGGTGGTTCTACGTATGAACTGAGCAACGGAGCAGTATGTGCTTTGCGTGTTGGCTGAACTTAAACGTCGACCACGCTCATTGGTAATGAGGAAAAGGGCGATGTAGCGGGCCGCGGGAGCTTGTGTATTCATGGATAGTTCGGGGCAAGTTTGGTACACGTCCGCGGAGGAGTCCGACTGTCCATCATACTTTATAAATTGGCGCATATATTGTCAAGCATCAAAAAAGACGTACCGACCAACATACACGTAGATTCGGAGGGCTAGCGTGCGTCTTACTGGATTACGACAGAATCCGCCCCAAGAACCCTCGAATACTCACTCGTGAGCACAATAAACAAACTTTCGCGTAGCCTTAAGAGTCGCAGTGGCATCCGGTTCTGTGCACCACCATTGAAGTGGGCCTCCTTCGACTCTTCCCGCCCTGGTGCCTACTGTGATGAGTGATGTTGTTCAGGCTGGCTCCTCCTCGGTTCATAGCAAGATCCCTGATATCTTTCGGCGGTATTGAGATCATATAGCGTCAACGGTGGTGATGTAAGTGATGAAGTACATAACCCTGCGCCTGGAACATACAAAATAGCATGCTTTGGCAAAAAACACAGTGAGTATGAGGACTCGCGGTGCGAGCCAAGACTCACTAGTTTAAAAGACATGCGTGACTGTATGTCTTGGATCTAGCTACTTCGAAAAATGTCCACAGGATTGTGTCCATATAATAGCCTTCTGTGAGTAGTGAGTTCGCTGTAACGTCTGAAAAGGAAGAAATTGTAGGTGCTGAATTGAAATGGAGAGAAGCGCCGCAGTTCAAATGTGCCTGGATGCTCATTAAGATGGTCATTTGGTGAGTTAGACGTCCATCCTATAAGGCATCGAATGTGTGACGTTATTGCCAGCGATAAGGCTAGCTCTTTTTCGCGAATTTCATCAGCAGTATGACAATCTTGTGGATTAGTGTTAAGTATGTTGTGTTGAACATGTTTTGCTGCTTGAAGGAGTGCACATCAGGACCATAGGTATACCCGCAATTCAATTGAGGCAGTATACACTGTGCTGCTACATATCACGGCCTGTAATGTGAGCATTAGTATCCAAGTACCACGATCTTCATATTTTCATATCCATTCGTTCAGATTTCCGGCCTGTATCAATTCGATTATCTTATCAATTGTAATATGGACAACTTCGCCTATAATATGTACTAGACTAGTAAGCTTTAAGTGGTCTGACTGAGACCAATTTCGTTATAATAGCGAGAAAACCAGCACGATCATTCTAAGGAATCAGTAAGGAATGTTGACAAAAGAATGATGGGTCAGCAGGGATTAATATAGGTGCGCTCAGCGCTGTCGCTTATTAGGTACCAAGAACGCACATCATGAACTTGTGCTATTGGTGGTGCTGTTCATGTATGGAACGCACACATTCGGATCGTGGAACGCTGCAGGGTCCTGGGTCAAGAACCCGAGTTTTAACCCCTCAAGGTAAGACCTACATAGACGGCCGTCAGATCTTTCGTAAATCACCCTAGGATACGCTTGACTAACCATTGCCTTGCAAGTGCACTCCCATTGGTGAGGGGTGATATCTCGGTTTTGAAGTTCCAGTACTGAAGTATTCACCTTTGAGTAAACATCTTGATCAAATGCAATGGGACACGTACAATCCATCCGGCACCTTTACTATAGGCCAACTTCTGTGCGTCAGCCCATTTGTAGAGGAACTCGTTTGTGGCATTAAACTCCGTCGAAAGTCCCCACTCTCCGAACCAGAGTGGAGAGTCGCCGACCGCTGCGTCAGCCTGGATACGTGAAAGATCTTTACCAAAGTGAGTGCATCATTGGCGAACTGACGAAGAAGACGCACTACAGATACTGATCAAGTAAGACGTTGGGTCAGCAGCCGCAACTCCCTATAAATTTGTTAATGCGAAGCAATAGGCTACGTGCACGCGACATACACCAAACCTGTAAAGAGACAATTAAGAAACCATGAGAATTTGATGTAATCAACTGCGTGCTCACGAGTAATACAAATGGTTGTCGTAAGCTTGGGGACCAATCGCCACGTCAGCTGGATTAGAGGGATTATCGTACTGCCAGTTCACATCCATGAAACTAGCCATGCCATCATCAATGTATCCTAGCAAGGACCTGTGGTGAACTCACTTGGTCACCAATGAAGTACGAGACCGCTTGAAGGGTGAGGCTTCGAATATGGTCTGTAAACCGGAAGCTACTCCAATCGCTAGTAAAATTGGAACGGCTTCTGAAAGTGCCGCTCGCACCTCCACTGGGAATATGGTTGCTGAAGATGTCGCACTTAGTGCAGCAGTGAAGTTGTTCGAGACTGACAGTGGTACCGATAGCGACAAACTGGATGACGGTGCAGATATTCCGAGTGTGAGCTCAACTGCGCGGATTACCTGGACAAAGTTTCTTTGGACTGTACGAAGGTTCAGAAACCATGATGGTACAAATAAAAGAATGATGAATGACACATACAGGTGCCATAGTTGGGTGTTTGAGTCGCGTTCATAATGGGTTCATTGATTGCCTCGATCGCAAAGACACTTCCAAAATCAGGGTCCAGGTGAGAAAGCGCAGTCATGACCGCTGTCCACACCAGTGCACGGTGGTAGTTGTATGGAGTCTGTATGTAAGGATTTGTAATTGTTGCTTTACAAGCTGCGAAATGGCTCACGTAGAATTGAACATCGGAAGTGCAACTGATAAAAATCAATCTCAGTACAGAACAGATAGGAAACAAATGGGAACTTACTTTCCAGTGAACATTTGCCCAGGCGTTTGAACCCCGGGTAATGCATGATGATCCAGGATCGCTTGGATCCCAGCATCTTTCAGCCAGCCCAAGCCCCGACGCTACACGCTCGAGTTTAACAGAATTAAAATATAGGAGAAACCTTTTCTAACCAAATACTTGAGACCGCCCCGAGGGTATGATTCGTGGGACCTATCGACTAAGGCCTCCACAATCCAATATCCCAGCTATGAATGAACGCGATGCATAACGCATGAAAGGAAAAGCAGATCAAATAGTCCAACGTTAGTTTGGCCAAATTCGCAGTAATCTTGGAATCGACGCACAGGAACCCTGACGGTGTTAATACCGGCCGCCTTCAGCGTATTGACGTTGTCCTGCGTAAACCACGTGTCCCAGTGTTGAGCAAATGTAGTATCAACGGTGTCTGGATACGCCTTTGCAAATGACCTATTTTATCATAGAATAATTGAATATCACATGCGAACAGTGCAGAACTGGAACGTACGACTCAGTCGCAATGCATGTCCAACAATCATCAGCGCATGACTGTCCACCCATATCCAACCACTCTAAAGAAACTTGTTCAGTGAACGCGTATTTGCCAAGTTCGTTGGTTTATCACCTTGAGGAAGCATCCATGGCTCTAGGACTAACCTGCGCTACCACTTGAGTTAAACAGTCAGTCGGAGGCAGAGTAGCGCTTACCATGAACCCAAATTAACGCCATAAATGTGTGTTGGTTGCCCATCCCACGCACGGGCAACAAGCGCACTCGAGAGCACCAAACCTGCCAGGATATGTCTCATTGTACAACTATTAGTCCGGGTGATAAAACAACCAACTTCAAAACAAATCTTAATCTATATCTGGTCTAGGCGTGACAGCCTGACAGGCCGGAGCAATTGGAAGCGAATAGTCATTGATTGCTCTGAGAAAATAACTCTCAAGTACCTCGTTGTATATCTCGCCGCCATGAGGAGATGGAAACCATCCCGACCTGCGCGTTAAATGTTCTTGATGCCTCGTAGACGTGCGATAGTGACATTGAAACCAACTCTGAGTTGGGGGTAGCATAGTATAGTGTTACTCGATCATCAATGCATCACGGGTCGTGTGATCGCAAGGAGGCGAGCAGCCACAGCTGCCCGACCCTCGATTGCCGCCCGATCTAAATCACGTGACTTCTAGCAGTTTGCATCAATATAATAAATTATCAAGTCTACCTTCAGTCCAAACTGAAAGCTTGCATTCATGCTCAGACGCGATGGCTGCGGCTTTCTCGACACACACATTAAAAACTGGTCGTTGCGTCTCCTCTCTCATTCTACACCACCAACGTGATACACCTACAAGATGAAGTTTGCTGCAATTCGATGTGCGCTTTTTGTAGTAGCAGTTGTCGGGTCACCCACTCCTCCGCCAAATGCTCATTCTGATATGGGTCGCACACAACACATTCTTCTCAACCCCAGATCAAATGCTGCCAACTTCTCCAAAGTGTTTGATCCAAGGACTGTGTGGGAACAGCTGGGTTTTGTATATCGGTATGTCTGGAATTCTTTCTTTCACTATATTCATCAGCCTGACGCCAACTAGTAAGTACAGTGCTACCATGGGAGCCTACCAACGGAACACTGGGTCTCCCCACCCTCTGAGTAGTCGCTTCGACTTTCACTCAGCTGCAAAGCGGAATGGAAACGTATCCCTTTTCAACTACAATGCAGACCTCTGGTACGGCGAGATCGACGTGGGCACGCCCCCAAAAACATTTACAAGTTCGTTTGATTTACTCTGCAATGTGATACGTATGACACCGACATTCTCAAGTGGTGTTCGATACTGGCAGCTCAGACCTATGTAAGTCTCAGACATATATTTCTTTATCTTCGTACTGACAGTAATGTTCGCGTAGTCCTTCCATCTACCGAATGCAGTGTTAGTTGTGCTGGCCATACACAGTACGACCCTGCTGCATCTTCGTCTGCTAAAGATTCTGGCCAACCGTTCGTGCTGATGTACGGCGCTGGGGAGACAGCGGGCGAGGAGTACGTCGATGACGTTTTCGTCGGGGGCTACCAAGTTGGTTACCACAGGTGTTCATTTCCTTTCTACTAATCTGGTTTGTCAGGCCAAGGATCAGACCGTCGGCGCCGCATGGATGTATTCGCCAGAGTTCAGCAAGGACGGGTCTTTCCCCCCTGACGGTCTCTCCGGTCTGGCATTCCGCGAAATATCAGAGTTCGAGGGATCTCCACTGTTCCAAACGCTGGACGAAAGTGGAAAACTGCCACAAAGCGTCTTTGGGTTCAAGCTCTCTACTACTCCAGGAGACAGCGAAATGGTCATCGGAGGAACAAATACTGATCTCTACCACTCCGACACACTCACTTATGTTGCTGTGACGGATAGAGGCTACTGGCAGGTAGAGATGGATGTCATTTCGAGGTTGGGACAAGAGGTCATTGAGTCGCAAGCCGCTACTGCCATCATTGATACCGGGACCACTTTCGTCATCACCTCTTATTCAATCGCACAAAGTTACTACGCAAACATATCTGGAGCTACGGCCCACACGGAGGGCGCGGATACATACTGGACAAGTAAGCATCTTATTTCTTCCACGATTTCCAATTTGATCGACACCTGCATCTGCACAGTTCCATGCGATACCATCAATTCCACCGTACCTACATTCACGTTCGGCAGACGTGCCTTCAAAGTCTCCGCGCAGACGTACAACCTCGGGCCAGACGTTCTTTCCAGCGACTGCTTAGCAGGGATTGCTGCGTCTTCAGAAATGGGTGCGTACAGCCTGTGGCATCTTGGACAAGACGATGTTGCTCATACTTACTGTAGATTTCACGATCATCGGCGATGTTTTTCTTCAGAACGTTTATTCGGTGTTTGATTACGCAAACACGAGGGTAGGATTTGCAGAACTTGTTTGATGTAACTCGTGGATGCATTGATTAATACCCAAGGTGCATGTATACCTCTTTGTACTACGAACTTTGACTGTTGTACGTAGCCAAAATGGGCCGTGATATCTTGTTACCTGTATTTCATGCTCTGCAGAGCCCAATAATCGTGAAAAACAGCTATATAGTGAAACACCATGTGTGTCATTTATTCTCGAGTCTATCATGTAATCTGCGTGGCTGAAAAGTTGTGTAAAACGCGCTAGTTGAGTCATATTGCCCATCAATTCACCTTACCTCTCTAGTGCTACTTACCCTACGGCGGAAGATATCTCAATGCCGGAGTAAACTAGCTATAATGCAATGATTATACTTGAAAAACTCGGACTTTGGCGTTATTCTACAAGGGTGCTTGTGTTATTGTATGTAATACTTGGTTGATATGCTATACGATGGCAGTGCAAACTTTATGTGATCAGACGTGGAGTATGTTGCGAGTATCAATAACTTTAAGTGCTTCTAGCAAGGTCAGTCCAGTCAGCAGGAAACTGCAGCGTCCAAGAAAAGTCGCCCTCCGTCACCCTCAAACGAACAAAAGGTGCAGACACCTACATCTCAACATCCTGATCTGGATCCAGACTCTGCATTTTGACGTCTTCTCCATTGGTAGGCACTGTTTCACCATGATCAGATTCCACCGCAGAAGGCCACCTCACCCTCCCCATCATCCCTTCTACCGCGCCCCGATACATGGCATTATACACCTCCTGCTTTGCCACTCGGTGTGGCTTATTTGCGCGCTTAAATATCTCTGTGCTGGTCTGTCAGCACTGAACTACGTAAAAGAAAGGAAACATACCAAGGAATCTTTCACCGACCCAGAGGCGAAGCGGGGCGTTGCCTAATGAGCCATCGCTACCGTCCATATCTCTCTCTTTCTCCTTTCCTTTACCTCCACCTTTCACACCATCTACATCCTTCTGCTTCGCGCCCATCCCAGCACCCAGCGTCTCGCATACTGCCAACGTCTCCATCGCATGCGCAGGTGCTGTATGCAAATACTGTGCACCCACTTGCGCGAGGAGCAACGCGCGAGATGGTTTTCGCCTGCTAAGGTCGACAGAGACAGCGCAGATTTTAGGTGTGATCTGTGCCAAGAATCAATTTGTAAGTAAAAGTCAGTTATTGAGATTTTTGGCGTGAAATAAAGAAGCGACGCACTTGGCACCAACAATCTCCCCTCTTGCACCCACCACAGCTGCCTGCACCACCTTCCCAACTGCTTCAAGCGTCCCTCCCATTCCATGACACCGCTGAATCGCAGACCTAGCCAATGCATGCGTCTCAGCATCCAACCAGTCGCTTTTCTCAGTACTAGCGTCTTCATTCACATCAGGGTTCAAGTTCTCGTCGTGAGCCTGAGCACGTAGTCCGATGCGTAATAGTGCTTCCCCAGCGCATGCAGCAGCGCCTACATAACCAGCACCTGCATTGTGTTCGTCATCTACGGATTTGGCGACGCGATAGCATACGCCTGCACGTTCGGTATCTCCGAGTGCATGCGCGAGGTGTGCGGCGTGGAGGGTGATGCGGGCGCTATATGAGTGGAAGAGGTCGTGTGTGTGGGTTAGGGTAAGTAATGCGTTTAGGTGTGTTTCTGCAGCGTCGAATTCGGAGCGTTGGATCGATATCTATGTTTTAGGATAAGACAATGGATACAAGATTGTGGTATGTAATCAAACGTACCGCGACGAGCTCGCATAAAAGATCGGCTGTGAGTCTTACTGTGCGCTGCATAATTTCGTCTCCGTCTGCTAGGGAAGCCCAGAGGGGCACTGAAGATGGACGAGTGTCAGTATCAATGCAATAGTGATTACCGGCACGACCAAAATACAACATACGTTCGATGTCCTCTCTTGCAGTATTGAGAGTGTTGATTGCTGCTTCGGCCCAGAGCCTTCGCTTTGGGTTTCTGCCCACTGGATCCCGTTTTGCAGTGGCGCTGACGAGGAACGTGAGCGGGAGAAGTATCAGTGGGTGGGTGGTATGGACCACCAGGGGAGGGTGGGGTGGGAGAGCGATCTATACAAGTTGCATAGTTAGGACCCATGGGGAGAGAAACGCAAACGCGAGACGGCAAGCATACCTGGATGATACCATCCTTGAACCCCTCGAGTGCTCCACTATCAACAATTTCGTGGAGCGCGACGAGCCTTTGTTCGGCTGCACGAACGTTTCCAGAGAAAGTAAAAAATATGGTAGCGGATATGAGTGTATGGATAACCAGAGAAGCATGAGCAGGATCCGATTGCGTGTTTTCCTCCTCTTGATTTGGTTCCACATTTGACTGGTCGGAGGTAATGCGTACTTGAGAATATTCGCGAGACAAAGCATTAACGTCGTGAGCAGTTATAGAATTCCAACGGGGAAGTGCGTCATCAGGTTTGTTATTTTTCATCGCATTGATATGACCCTCGTCATTCTTAACTTTGCCGTTCTTGTCGAACATCAGACCAAGCACGGCTTCTGCGGTATCGAGTGCAGCCCCAACTTGGGCCCATGCACTTGCACGAAGAAGGACGCGTAACCTGATGACATGAGCGAGGGCAATAATTTGAGAGTGGTGGTTTTTGCGTGCGAGAGTTATGAGAGTATCTATGGCAGTGAGCGTTGCTTGGAGGGCGGGGGCCCCTAGTGGTGCAGGGCTGGTATTAGCAGCAGTATTAGTTGAAGGGGGCAGTGTAATGATCTGGGTGATTAATGCTAGGTGTGCATCATATACGGTGCCTGGAGGATCCGAGGGTACAAATGATGCGATGAGGCGTCTGAGGATAGCACGTGCAAATTTTGGTGATGTGGAAGAGGAAGGAAAAGTGAATGCAAAACGAGCATGGAGGAGTGTTAGGTGGTGACGAAGCGGCCGAAGCGAAGGGTGCTGAATTGAAATGGTTGAGTCAATTGTCTATGTCAAAAATAAGGAGAGACTGACTTTTTGTGCGATGAGAAGACCTTTGCCGAGTGCTTTCTCGGCCTGTTGTATAACACTTGTCAGCATGTGCAAGCAGCGAAAAACCTTGTAGTACCTCTGAATGAATACCTACAGCCCAGTCACATCCTCCCTCCTGCGAGCAAAAGCCACTCTCCATGACTCTCATGCCGACTTCGGCCAGACTTGTCCAAGCACGACATTCTATATCAGGGGCGAGGGCAGGCAGTGCTAAGCAGTGTCTTAATGAGCGCAGTGAGAGAAAGAGTGAAAAACCAAAGTCTGGATGAGTAGGAGGAAGGGCCAGAAGTCCTGGAAGTGCAAGGAGTAGGATTGCTGGAGGCAGCGGGCGGAGTGCTGGAGTCGGGTATAATTTTGGAGAGTATGGAGGTGGAGTGAGTGACGAGGATCTAGGTGTCGGCGAGGCTGATATGGGGAGAGTGCGCTGACGTTTTAGCGGACGTGTCGAGTCGTACATTGAGGAGAGACGTGATGCATCCGTCACGCGTTTAATGAAATGTGACATGTCGCGCATGTGCACTGTGGCGTGGTACTTCGGAACATAACTCCACAACGTTATTCGTCTGCGGCAAAACGTACGTGACTTTAGGATTCTATCCGACATAGCCCAAGATCTGATACGAGAAAACGTGTTAAATACTGTACGGTAACGTTTATGCCATATTTTTCTGGAACGGTAATTGAGTAAGTATGTACTACTAGTGCAGGTTGGCTATGTTGGACTATTCAAGTTTTAGCGGGTAAGTTGTATTTTTAATCTTCGCTAAGTACTCCTCTTTATATAAACAATCTGTCAATCCACCGTGTTTTCCTCCTTTATTTTTTACTCCACACCATCCTAATTCGCGCTCCCTGCCACATACTAATCGCTTCCCCAGCCACATCCGTCGACCCTCCTCTCTCACCTCTCACGCCCGGTCGTCTTATTCACTCGCCCCTTCTACCAGGCCAATCATTGGAGACATGCAGTTTCCTCTTGAGCCCCCCACCCCTCTCTTCGCCGCTGATGAATCTTCTTCCGCTCCACCATCTCCCCGCGCAGACAGCACCACCCTCTCAAAGGACGTCTCCCTTTCTGTCAATTATCTACCTAACAAGTTTGCTTCTGGCTTGCTCTCTCCCACTCCTCGCAGACGTAGACCAGGGAAGGCCAATGATGACCATCCCGCCATGCACAAGAGAGGCGGCGGTAGGGAGGCCTTCAAGAGTGGTGAGGCACGCATGCCCGCAGAAGGCGATGAAGACTATGACGGCGTCACCGGTGGTTGGTTCGGTGGCAAAGAAGGTGGTCACACCCGTCCTCACATGCACTGGAACAGGTTCAAATGGGCACTCTTCATTGCCAATCTTGCAGTCAGTACCTTTTCCTTTCCATACTTTCCATTTCCTGATCTCTTGCAGTTATCCATATACGGCCTTGCGGGTCTAATTTTCTGTCTCCTTACATGGTTTGACGTCTTCGAACACGCAGACATCATTCGCGTAGGCAACCGAACAGAACTCGTTTTCTCCACAGCCGCTGCCGTCCTTGCCTCACTTACTTCCATAATCGGATGGGCTGGCATCCTCCTCAATAACCGCTCTTTCCTAGCAGTTTACACTTTCACTCTCTGGCTTTGCTTTGCCCTCCTCGTCACCCCCGGCTACATGACCTACAAACAACGTACATTCAACCTCGAAGGCAAGCTAAATTCCCAGTGGTCCCGCGATCTCGGTGCAGCCGGCCGTCTCAGGATCCAAAACAAGCTCCATTGCTGTGGATATTACTCCCCCTTCGTCGAAGCTACTGTCTCCCAAAGCTGTTACGCCCGCTCCAGTCCTCCCGGGGTGCAAAGAGGCATACGTCAACTTTGAGAAACACGCCTTGGACTTCTGGTACACTATCGCTTTCTCCCTGGTGCCGCTCCAGCTCGTAATCATGCTCGCTGGTCTCTTGTGCTCAAACCACATAACCTACCGCTTCGGTAAAGGCATGATGCCCAAGGCCTATAGGCTCAGCATGGCAAGTATGGCTGTCATTATGGATAATTATGCCAAGTGGGTTATTTCCTATCTATCCCCGCATGTATGTATTAATACTCCCACCACAGCCAACTGGCGGAACAATACGGCACCGAAATCGCATCCGATATCTTAGCGCGGTCTCGGCACCTTGATTCTGTGACATACGCCTCCGGCGTTGCGAACGGGACAGGCACAACATATGCACTTTCTCAAGGCAGGTACGATTCACTGGCGGTGAAGTCGCCCTACACCGAGAGAATATGAATGAGCGAGTGACGATAGATGGACTAGTTTTCTTGCAAAATTTCTTGCGTTGATACACGTGCTCTGATACACTGTTTCAAGTTCTTACTTTCCTATTAACCCTGACGGCTTTAATCATGCAGCTGCCGAGTGCCGGCTGCACGTTCTTGACTTACCGGTTTCGCTCACTTCTGCTATGCCTCGTACGCGATCGTTCCGGTGTACTGACGTACATGCAGCTATTCAATTTCAATAGCTACTTCCATTCTTTACATATGATTAACAAATATACCGCGTATTTCTCGTGTTTGAGGATGTGTAGCACGAGTCGACCCAACCAGTCGTTTCAACAAGTGGTCATTTAAATTTGCGACGTTCCTACAAGTACACGGTCAAGGCCACATGTCAAGGTGTTCCTCAGAGTGAAGTGACCGCCGTCCTCAAGCCGGAAGATAAAGCGATACTGTTCGAAGAAATTCTTAGACTATAAGGTTGCATCCATTTTTAAGCTGTCTCTGTCGGTCAGGAAAATACCATCTCAATCTGCATCGAAGGCTGCACAGGGCATCTCGAAGAGATTCTTCGGTCAGATTCATTTGTCCCTCAACAAAGAGTAGCCGAGAGGCATTCGTGGATCTTCTTGCTGATTGCGACGCGGATAAAGACCATGTAGAAGGCAATCGAGATGATGGGAACGATCTACATGGTTGATCAAAGCTCCCATCAGCGATTTTGATGAGATTATAACAGCGAAATAACACACCAGGTCTCCTAAAACATAAAACCCATTGTTCGAGAGGGCGAAACATACCAGCGAGGCGCAAAGCGCTGCGGAGTATAAAAGCGCGGCGTCTACGAGCACCCGCAATATAGGCATGTTATTCTTCGTAGCGTAAGCTCCAGAGACATTGCGTTCGATCGTCCAGATGCGGTATGCCAACAATCCTGTATATATTCAGGTCATTAATATATATACAGACCTCAGCATAGCGCCTACGCAGAAGTGAACCCACCTGAACTGAGCAAATTAGTTGCAAGCGTCAAGGAAAGGAACGCCGTGATCCAATGTCCAGTCTGGTTTCCGAAGACATTTTTGGCATTGGTAGTCGGTGCTTGCACATAGACCATACAAATACCAAACGCTTTGAAACAACACAGGTCAGAGCATCCAATTTTTTCCGTATGATTGCAAATAACCTGCGACACCGCACCACATCATGCATGGTAGGATGATAATCCACACAGATCGCCAAACGACGTAACATCGATAGATCTTTTGGGGATTCATGTAAGTCACTAGGGTTTCAAGCTTGCAGGTAAAAAAACTTGAACTTACCACCACTCCGTCACCAAGCAAAGTTTGTAAAGTGATTATCGTATTCTTTGTCACAAATGTTTGTTGGGTCACGTCTGCGAAGAATCTTGCTGGCCCATCATGGAGGGTATTGCCATGCTTCACCAGTCCATCTTCGAGACGAACAGCACCTACGATCATGTGCTTGGGAGACTTCAGCGGATGAAGTGGGACGAGAGTGGTAAGAAGCTGACCGCAGTACTGAGTACAAACAGCAAGGTGGCAACCACGGTGCTTGGCTGATTGATGTCTCGGATGCGTTGTTTGTAAGTAAATGTCCAGATGGTACCTATGAACATGAGGACTGAAAAGCCTGAAAAAAAGAACGCTAGGTTGGTAGGCATGCAACGTAGGAACTCATGGTACTCGCCGTATAAAATACCTTCTAGTACTGTCGACATTATATTGGCAGAGTCCAATGGCAGGCCTGTGGTGGATTTGGAAGCCATAGTGGTGATGTCCAGGGGATCTACAACGACGTCAGTAGCTTTACCAGCTCAATTTGCATCTTACTATCTTTGAATAGAAATGCCTCAACTTTTGATATCACCACAGGAATCAGAAATGCAGTGTGCACCCCGTTGAACTTTTGGTAAATTAGACAGGTCTGCCGAGATTGCTGTGGGGGGGCGCCTTTCTTGATGTAGTTCTTGAATTCTAACAGAACGTGACAAGATCCTATCAGTTGCATCAACAGCTATCAAACGAATAACGTCTTATCGCTGCTTCCCTCGAAGCAAGTACGTATTGATATAGGGTTTGGGGCGCTGTTAGTGGTGTTCTTGAAACATGATGGGTGATGCTGATCCGGGGGTATAGATTTTCTGCTGCGATCATACACAAACAACCAGAAGGTTGCTCATCATCTTTTCAGCTCCCAGGAGGCGGACAAAACGAAACAAAGCAATTTCCGCAAATATATGGATCTATAGAGTCAATATCAATGGCCGAGACCATGACCGGCGACACGGGTTTTGCTTTGGTTATAGTGACTCCACCTTATGTAATTCCACGGATTCTCCAATTTTTTGCCGAATGACCACAAGACGCTATCTGATATCGATTAGAGCTGCACTTGATTTCAATGTTACCCACGACATGAAAATTCACAAATCCTGCTTCTCCCAACAAACGTACACATCGTAACCGACCTAGACTGTAAACCTATCAAACCAACTCACGATTCCCCTAGCGCTCTCCTCCTTCGCCCAGCCTGCATCAGCATTCATTCAGTGCCTTGCTAATTTCAATGTGTAAGAAATGAAACCAGGCCACTCACGTTGCGTGTCAATAGCAGGATCACACCGTACAGCAAACCCATGTTTGACGCCTGAAAACACCTGGAAATGATACGTGGATTTGCGAGCGACCATGATGTCTTCCGCACGTCGACGCGAGGCCAGTGGGAATGTGTGGTCTTCCTCTACATGAGAAAATAGTATTGGGAATCAGCTTAACGGCGAATGTGAACATCTGTAAGAAACTTTTACCTGCGCAGGAAAGAAGGAGAGGTCCTGTGTTGATGCAATGATTTGAATTTTGTTAAGGGAGCTGGATGATATATATCAAGTATAAGAAGCGTACTGTCAAGTTTCTCAAAGTGATCTTCATCGAGGAATGCGGGGTGAGCCAGTGCTCCTGCAGTTCTCGCGTGGGCATCCTCCTTGAAAACTGTCGAATTACTTACCAGCGACTACAGATCCATCAGAACACAAGTCCATGACGAACGAGGCTCCGAAGCAGTACCCTGATTACAGGAATTTAGCGTCTTTTGGCGCGATTCTTGTATTGACGTACCAACAGCACAGTATTTGGTATTCTCCCTCCCTGTACACATTTGAGTGACTCAGAAGCGACCGGAAACATACCAACATACCGTATTTTCCTTTCACAGCATCTAGCCAAGCGGGGAATGCATCGATAGCAGGTTTGCGGGAATTGTCGATCCACGTCTGGCGATCTGGACCATCGTGGTTCGGCGCGGAGTCGCCAAAGAAATAATCAGGTCCAAGTACGATATAGCCTTGTTCCATTCAAATCTCGTGATCGGTTCACAATGTACAACGTTGACAACGGGACGCACCACAGGACGCAAAATAATCTTGGACTAACTTATTGTTAACGAAAAGCGGACTCCAAACGTCTGCTAGGAAGAGTATCACTTTCTGTGTCGCAGCAGGAGGATCGGAGATGTATGTTGGGATTCCACCGAGGTCCTCAACGCGGCCAACGGGCGTGCCTATGTGTTTTACACCGGAGAAGCAGCAACTACCAGGGGCAGAGGCAAGTGTGGGGGACATTATCGATATTCCGCGTAGAGATGAACACCTGGTCTTCGTGCGACCTTTATATCTTCGGAGTAGAAGAGCAAGTTTGGGTTATGAACAACACATGATGACCTTTATGATCACCCGACCTCCAGAGCCATGCGGACAACTCGGGATCTCGGATGTCCGTATGTTCGATGTGAATGTATTTCAGAAAATGACTTCATGAGAAATAATTATAGCTAGCCCAACCTTCGAGAGTTCACGGAAAACAAACAAGGTCTGTCACTGAAAACTCATTTGAATCAATCCAGCGTAAGGCCACAATATGAGTACGATTTACTGAAACAGTATGTGATTTCAAAATAACAGCATATATCACTTGCTACTCGTAAAGCGTTTGAACCATCCTACCATCGCACGTTGGCACTCTTCCTTCGCCCACCCTATCAGAAGCAAGAGTATTGAAAATTCATATCACTGAAAAAGGCGACAAACACTGACTTTCGGTCTCGACTTCTGGATCTCCCCTTGTTCCAAAGCCGTGCGATACACCGCTGAATATCTGAATATAGTATGTTGCCTTCCTCTCCACAAGGATGTCTTCAACTTGTCGTCGGAACGTCGCTGGGAATGCAGAGTCCGTTTCTATGGGGTGGTATGAGTGAAGCACGCTTCGGAGGACCTGAAGACATGTCTATACCTGCGCAAGAGAACAACAAGGGCACTAATTGCATAGCTTGGTCAATGCTGCCATTGAAGAAGTATAACATGGAACCTACCTTTGCTGGCTCTCAGAAGCTCCTCGGTCAAGCTCGTAGGATGGGCCACAGCGGCTAGTAGATGATTTCGCATACAGACACCAAAGATAGAACGACACGTCACATACCACACGATAGCATATCAGTAGCTGCAACCTGAAAGACATAGGGCGCGCCGAAACAGAAACCTTGATCCAGAATGAAAGTAGCAATCTTATAAGAGCCGGCCTACTTACCGACAGCACAGTATTTCACATTCGTTCCTTTATATCGCTGCTTATTATTTCGGTATGCTAGGTATGCTGGGAAGGATCGCACCAAACATTTCCTTGACACCATCCACCCACTTTGGGACGCTAGCCCTCGCTTGTTCGACAGACTTTGTTCTCCATGTTGAGCGATCAAACCCGGGCTTGTTGAGATGCAGATGAACAGGATCACCAAAAAAGTAGTCTATTCCGACCACGGTGAAACCTGCCTCCCCAATCAATACGCACACCAAGAAACTATGTATACAGAAACATACCCTGGGAAGCGTAGTAATCTTGAACCAGTTGAGCATTGATATAGAATGGCCCAAAGACATCTGAGAAGTATAGGATGACAGTTTCTACTGCGGACGCAGCGGAAGCTTGCGGAGCAGATAGGTATGTCGGTACGCCAGCGATGGTAATGCTTTCACCCTTTGGTGTGCCACTGTGTGCGACTGAAGTGAAACAATGATCTGTCAATGGGCCTGCGAGTGTGGACGACATGGCTCTTGGCAAGGAGATGAGGCCTTAGGCCTTAGGTGTCAAGTGGGTAAATCATGTGGTTTCCTTTCGAGCTTGTGTCCCACGCCGCGATTCTCGGTAACTCTCCACGCACCCAGTGTCGGCGTCTCATGCAAAGGCTGATACTATGTTTTGATTGTGGGCGTTTTTGCTAGTACTGGTTATCCTGCCAAGACGGCACTTTACAGCACTTGAAATTTCGTTTAGGGCCGCTGAGCCGCAGGCACAAACTCGACCAACTCACGTTCACCCACCCCTGAATTCCGCGCGATGTCACGTGACTTCTTGCAGAGGTGAAGCGTAAATTTCTCGACAAAGTATCTCTACTTGCCGCTAAGCTCAGTACACTACTTGCGTTGTGAGCTATTTCACCGACGAATACGATAAAATAAGGCTAGTCAAGCTACGAGGCACCTACTTTTTCAACTTAGTATGATTCCCTTGTGATAACGTTGAACTTGAAGTTGACGGCAAGTTAGTGTCACCGTTCTTACGACCAATCCTTTTGGGGAATTTACCCGGCGACAACCAGTGAAATAGGCCAAGAAATGTGTAATTTACTGACGGCGCTTGTGTCGCTTGGTGTTTCAAGTAGCTTCTATTTTTTCAGAATGCCGAGGATGAGCCTGCAGTACTAAGGTGCGTCGCAATTAAGTGATCCCTGAGTCTCAAGCTTGAGCCGAATACTTGGATATAACATCTAACCAGTGTCCACAGTGTCGTGCATCCCTAGGCATTGGTATTTGCGTCATGGCTGCTTCACCAGGTATCCCGCTGGATACCGCTGTCATCATGTCATCAGTGCTAGAAGGCATTTTATACGGTGTGTATTGGAATGAGTTTTCCCGTCTCATCCACCAAGCTAGCGTTCTTTAGGCTTTTCAGTCCTTATGTTTCTAGGTACTATCTGGATAATCATCTACAAACGTCACACACACGACGTCAATTGGCCAGCTGTTGCAGTTGCCACCCTACTGTTCTTACTGAGTACCGTGGTTAGTGTCTCACCGTTTGCATCCAGTGACATTCGCTGAAGCTTCCCAAGCACGTGGTCGCAGGCATCATTCGTATTGAAGGTGGACTAGTGAAGCATCGTGACACGTTTCCAGGTGGCCCAGCGGCGTTTTTTGCAGACATTTCCGAAGAAACGTTTGTAGTCAAGGATGCGATACTTGTACTTACAAACCTTGCTTGGCGACGGTGTGGTGGTAGGTTCAAATTTTAATCTGCAAGCTTGAAACCCAAGGCTTATAGATTTCCTCCTCGGTCAAAAGATTTATCGATGTTACATTGTGTGGCAATCTGTATGGATTATCATTATACCTTGCATGATGTGGTGTGGAATTGCAGGTTTGTTGCAATCATACTTGCGAAGTGATGTGCCCTGATGTCGCCTGGAAGCGTTCGGTGTTGTTACGCTCTATGACTTATCGCAAGCGTCAAGTAACAATGTCTTCACCAACAAGACTGGACATTTAGTTGCGACGTTCATGACCTTGACACTTGCAACAAATTTGTTTAGTTCAGGTAAGCACACTTCTGCGTATGCGCGATGCGCGATGTTGGGTCTCATCACCCTGATGTTAGGACTGTTAGCCTATCGCATCTGGAAGAGCGAACGCAAGGTCTCCGGAATCCGCGCTACAAAGAGGAAGATGCCTTTATTGCGCGTGTTCCTAGATGCTGCTATTTTGTACTCTGCAGCGCTCTGCTCCTCGATCATATGTTTCATCCTCTCGAACAACGGACTGTATGTTATGCCAGACTTGGTAATTCGGCTGTTAACATTTGTTATCGATATCACTAACCTGAGATCAACTAGAACGTCCCGATCATCTCGATTGCCTTCTACATGGTGTTCATTCGCATGACGAGTAGTCGACACAATCGAGATTACATCTCAACTGTTCTTGGAGGGGGAAGTGAATTAGAACACAGAAACTCGCAGCAACATCCTATGCAGTCTTTGCACGACATATACAGGCAAAATGATACTACATCCTTCTTGGCTGATCACTCAAAAGCGCATACATTAGCATAATAATCTATCTAGCTTAGTATATATCTGGATACATAGCCATCTGTCCATTCAACCGGCTGGGGCGGCCACTAAATACCTCACTAGATTATAGGGAGCCATACCTTGGAGTTCTGAGCTTATCTGGCGGATCCGGTTGTGTTCGGCTCTGAACCTCGATGTTGAAGGTATTTTGAGAGCCTAACCCTGGGTTAACCATGCAGTACATCAGAATGCACAGAGAGGTAGTAATCGATATTATAATCCGTGGCCTCAAAAGTCTATAAGAGACAGGCGTACGATATGTATGTATGACAACCTATTAAGCTGACGAGAAAGAACTTATCTCAACTGTGATGGCAATCGGTGTAGGCTGTGGCTAAAGGGTGTCATTTAGTCCTCTTCCTTGAAATTCGATAAATTAACCACAAACCATGTCAATCTGTACAGGACGAATGACATCTGTTTCATCGTCATATTTACATATGTCCTCCCGGAGGCCTGGAGTTCCTCCACTTGTGGCACCCTAATGTGTGGCTCCGGTCGGTAGAGGAATTGGCGTGTACGGTGCGTGTTGACGGAATCGTTATTGTTCGCGTTGCCCTGCAAGTAGTATTGCGCATTCAGGAGTGCGAGAAACGAGCCGACGTATACTTGAAATGGTAGTAGTCAGCACCGTCCTCAGAGAATGCTTGGTCATACATTTAGCTACTAAGAATACAACGCCAAGAAAGATAAAGTTGTTTGGCATCGCTGCGCACTGCATACGACCCTCAGAGACGAGATGGATAATAAGATTATTTAGACCTTACTGTGACTATAGTTGCCACTGAACCTATACTGCACAAAACATCAATCAAGGTATAGTATCGTCTGGATGGACGGAATACCTCGTGATACAGCCAGTATTAACGGTGTAAGCTATAAGCTTGTTGATAAAGGAATCCGTCCTTAATACTCAACATCAATATACCAGATTTTGACAGTCAACGGGTCGTTCGTTACCTAGAGAACCCAGTGCGGGAGGTAGCGAGGAGATACCACATCGATGATGCAATAAGGATATCAACAACAGTAGCCGTGCTCAACGCCGCATATGCCGCCCACTCTACTCTAATCAAGTCTGAGAACTGATGACACTGATACCTAATCACGGTTAGCACCTCGCGAGAAATCGAGCAGATGGTTCACTCACAATACCCAAACAAGGACTGGGTCAAAGTGGAGATGAGTTGATGGCAGCAGCACCATGACTAGTACGCTAAAACCCTCACCAATGTCAACACCTAAAAGGATCTTCATGTTCAAGATTGCACGAAGAGAGTTTTGCAGATGACATCCTCACCTAAAGCGAGGGCCACAATTATGCACTAGGAGTGATTGTGATCATATGCAGAATGAATTACTATAGTACATGAACATTGATTATAAACCCACCATCATTATAGGGAGAGCTCTCGATCGGCCCTTGCTGACTAGGTTTACCGCATTAGTCATAACAGAATGGTTGACCGGAGGATAAATACCTATCCATAGGCGGTGGACATACAGACTGGACAAATAAGTATTACGAATATTGTGTACAACCCTATGCAAATCAGGACTCACGCTTGTACACTCTTGGTGATGAGAGCCTGTGGGGTATGCATCTGAGGCGACTCACAGAGCCTAGGAAATACAACTCACATAACATATGACCTGAAGCTGTACGAGCCTATCAGTACATGTGCACAGAGGAGAAGGAAATTCGAAAACTCACTTTAAAACTCCATACAATGTTTGTGAGCGCACTCATTCTTGCGTGATTCGTCACTAAGTAATAATGGATGCAATGGACAATGAAGACCAGGTGCAGAGCATCAAGTATCCTAGTGAACGTTTATAATCTTCTCGGCGTGTTCGACCATTGTAACTCGAAAGGATATCTACCAAAGTAAAATAACCTGATATAATGTCAGGACAAGAACAGACAAGATAACAAAGACGTACAACCACTTTAAAGAATGTTATTCCTGTGCCTCTATGCGTCTGAAAGTAGAGAAACGTTTGAATATTGCTTATACCCCAGAGGCTGTCCCGTGAGATATGTTACGACCATAATCAACATTTAGTCTTGACTGCATAGTAAGAAATATTTTACTGACAATGCTGCAAGCGTGGCCCCAATAAAAAGTGCTCCAAACGTGTTCCCGATAGAAGGCTGTAGGAGTTGGAGGTCCTGCATGGAGAAAGACAGAACCGATTCTGAATGTGATGACAATCATTTTATCCGTACTGTATACTATACTAGTACAGCCACTCGTCTGTCGTGTGATGGATAAAAGCTTCTAGAGACTGCTCCCATGGAGATTGGAACAAACCTTTCACATACGGCGATGAGAGCCCACGGAGTGGAACACTGGATCCGAGTCGTTCGACTCGGACTCACCAGGAACGTATCGTAATCATCACATCTGTTGCTTTGAGCTTCTGACTCTGCCCGCGGATGATGATCGGTGACTCCGGTCTGATCGCCTGCAAATACAAAACTTCATAATACCGAAAAATTGGAGATCAGATGGTATCAAATACTGACGTCCATGCATGTATGTGTACCTACCATTATGCAGTAAATCAGGTGGCCCAACATTGCATTCGCAAATGGTGGGGCACCAATTCATTATGACAACCGAATTTGCTATGTTTAACCAGGGTATATACGTTACCTTTACCGGTGCCAGCTGGTGCCACCTAGGGGTGCCAAGACTTGGGGAAATATGCATACAGGGACGCGTGACAATGTGGAATATGGCCAGCTTGATGAATTTGAAAGGTGCGTGATTTACGAGAATGCAGAACAACCATTTCAAGAATTCACACGCTTCTTGTATTGTTGTTGCATTGTGCTTTTAACGTTTTCTTCTGCAATTATTTTCTCCGTTACGTGGTCAAGCTAAGTTCCACCTGCCAGGCTGCTCATCGAGTCGGAATGAACAATATGCCCGCCTACGTTGCAGATTTGTAGGTACAGTTGCAGTAATCCCAACTCTCCTAACTAGAACTTTTGGAATCCCAGCTCGTTTTTGAGTTCTTCAGAAGTTCAGTCCCACTTTAATGGACTGACAACCTGAAGGCACATGCCCACACGTATTGACGTGGAAGAACGCATGCTCGTGGAGTCGACTAGCTTGAGAGTGAATAAGCTTGCTGAATTTGCAGGCCCACGCTTCGTTTTTTGTGTCTGGTCCACGAGTACAAGGGGATTCGGCAAGCCAGGACAGAATCCGAGTCGTTAACTCAAAGTGCCACGGTGGATTATATGTTCAAATTGCAAAGAGCTTGAACAACTGGAGGTGAGAAGCGAGGTTGAAGGACAAAATACCTATATGAGTATCGTCATACCGCACCGTAGTATGCCACGCTCGTCGTCCTGGGATTCGTTGATCATTTGAGTTATGAAACGCTTGAATCATGCGACCACGCCACGCTGACACTCTTCCTTGACCTGTCCTGGTGGATCATGTCAATAAGAGACTGTGGACAAGAGTAGAGGCGAAAGGAGAAAATTGTGCGTCAGAACAAGAACCAGAATGGAAAGGTTGAAAAAAACACCACTGACACGCATTGCCCACGTTCTGATCACATCTGGTCACAAATCCATGACTCGCCACTGAAAATATGGAAGTGGTATGTCTTCTTGTGCTCGGCAAGCCTGTTTTCAACCTTCCGACGTGTCTCTTTGGGGAACGTGTGATTAGTTTCAGCGCAGGAAAAGAGCATTGGGACTAGTCGATCGGACTGGTCAATAAACAGATCTTGGAAAAAAGAGAAGGGTCGGACAGCCACATTCGCTGATCTCCATCAGATCATCGGAGAGAGTAGCAGGGTGAGCGATTGCATCTATATGATATTACGCATATATATTGGCATGACGATAGAACACGCGTACCACAGATAATTAAGCTACCTTCCTTGGCAAGCTTGAACACCTGCGGTCCGCCAAAGCAAAGGCCTAAAAAAAGCTATGGAACGACGCCAAGACAATAACGAACAGGCGTACCAACAGCACGGTATTTGATGCCTGAGCCTACAGGGAGTTGAAAGGTATATAGTGAGATTGAAAAGAGGTTGCCATACCGTATTTCTTCACGACAGCGTCAGCCCATGGGCAGGTATGGGTGTTAGCGTTACTAAATGCCCTTTCTATCCACGCCGGCCTGTCGAAGCCTGGTCTATCCATGCAATCATGGATAGGTTCGCCAAAGAAGTGGTCAAAGTCGAGCACTGTGAACCGAAATTATATGATGATTACACTTGCTGCACGGAAGCACACCATGATGAGCATAATAGTCCATGATGAGCTGGTTGTTGATGAACAAAGGATCGAAGAAATCCGAAAAGTAGAGGATGGCGCCGTTGGACTTGGATGCGTTTGTGAGCTCAAATGCATACGTCTGTATATTAATGATCTTCTCCTGATAGCCGACGGCCCACTGGAGTACCAGAGTGGGAGAGGAGACAGCGGTGAAACAGTGCTGACTGAGCTGAGGGGTCATTCTGTGTCAGGGATGAGAAAATAGAAAGATGTCGAGACAATGCATGTAAACCATTTGTACGTCCGTACAACTGGTAACCACGGAAGGTAGCGACTTACGTGCCCCTGCGTCGCCCACCGGCGTTGTCTTGTAATAAAGAAGACTTGAAAATAAAATCAGCATACATAGATTTTATGGATACGTACGAGAAATAATGAGCGATTTCTTCAAAGCAGAAGATCCAGCTTGGCTAGGGCGAATCAGAATTTAGAAATGAGAACGAGTCACCGAAGTCGAACGAACGGGAGGGTTCTGGAGTCTTCCCGCGCTGTAGTAAGCAGATTTGATGATGTTACTTGTGCCAGTGCACCTACACAACGCTTATCCTCCTCCATCATGAGCTCAACGCCACAGGAAATTCAGATAAATGTCAAGGGTGCGATTAATTCACAATATATGATTGCAAAACATATTGACCAGAACTAGGACCGAGCGAGCTCAAGCTGCAAATCACAATCAGTACTGACAAGACTGTGCTTGACCTCAAACGTGCTATCGCGGAGAAGTCTGATGTAGAGGCTGATCGGCAGAGGCTTATATACTCTGGTGCGTGTTAATGCATTTGCCGAGGTTTCCTTTATTCAAGTAATATTGTATCTACAAGGCCGAGTATTGAAGGTATAGTTTATTGCATATGCCTCTCATGATCACTGATCATTTCTTGCACAGGATGAAGATGTTCTTTCAACATATAAAATCCAAACATCTCACACCATCCACATGGTCAAGGGCGTCGCTCGCTCAAACATATCCGGCTCTCAAACCTCCTCTGTCCCAGTCCCGCCCCTCCCCACAATGCAAGCCGGCCAGAATCCCCACGACCCATTGACGCAGCTCAACTCTCACCTCGGCTACGGTGCCCTCAATAGTTTCAACCCATTTGCAGAAATGGGTCTGAACCCGAACGATCCTAACATGATGCAATCAATGATGCAGAATCCCCAATTCCTCCAGCAGATGAGCGGCGTCATGAGTAATCCCGCTGTTCTCGACCAAATTATTGCGAGCAACCCTCAGCTCGCTGCTATTGCCCCTCAAGTCCGCGAAGTCTTCCAGAGCGAGAGGTTCAGGGAGATGATGTACGTCGTTTTGTCTACCACTACTCCTAGAAATGCACGCTGATCTGAGTTAGATCAAATCCTGAATCTCTCCGCTCAATGCTACAGATGGCAGCAGCATTCCAAGGTGCAGGTGGGGGTACAGGCGCCAGTCCATTTGGTGGAGCATTCGGCCTCCCCGGCGCAGGTGGCGGTGCCGCGTTCCCGGCACCAGGTACTCCATCTACAGCACCTGTATCATCCCCCTCCTCCAACCCCTCCACTTCCCCTACAGGCGGCCAACCAGCCCCAAATCCATTCGCAGCATTTTTCCCTCCTGTCCCACCAGCAGGCGCGGGGACTGATGCAGGCGCAGGCGCCAACCCGTTCGGCATGTTCAACCCCGCGGCTCTCGCACAAATGCAAACAGCCTTTGGAGGTGGCGGTGCTCAAGGCGGATTCGGTGGCTTCGGTGCGCCTCCTGCTGCACCCGCAGATTCGCGGCCACCCGAAGAACGCTTCCAGGTGCAGTTGCAGGTGCGTCTTGTGTGTTGTGTGTGGCTAGTGATCTAATGTGGTTTTTGCTCGTGCTTCTTGGATTTATATTTGGGAAATAGCAACTACAAGATATGGGATTCACGAATGCATCGCAGAATGTCAGGGCACTCCTTGCAACTGGCGGAAACGTGCATTCGGCGATTGAGTATATACTAAACGGAGGAGGATTGTGATTTGAGGACGAGCCTTAGATGTCGGGGATGGGTAAGTTTCTCCTTTCCATGTTACGTTCGAGTTAATTGTATTGTGTACGGCGTAATGAATCCAGCAATCTATACTATGTGGCGTATTGTAAGAATGGAGGAGATATATTCTATTCAAAGGATACTGAAGGACGCAGTCGGTGGCAATCACAGAGAAATATCTGTATCTTACGGCAGATTGCACAGAAAGCCTCTCCCCCGCGTGAGGGTATCGGGAAAGATGCTCGTTTCTAAGTCTCCATTGGAGACTTGAGCGGTCTGAAGTACGGTTGGGGGCCAATATGGCAGCACTCTAAGCCCTGTCTCAGGTAAGAGTGGCAGCCGGTGGTGTGGTGGTAGGTGGTGCAGGTGGAAGTGAAGGAGCTGATAGTGAGCCTGAGTCTTTTAAAACGTCCAGGGCGCTGAGGTCGTGGCTGGGAAATTTGATAACACTCTAATGAACGATGTGAGAGAAAAACGAAGGATCCATTATTGTACGCACTTGATGCATTCCGTGGAAGAAATTGGGTTCTATATCATAACCATCCTAACCTGAAAGATTTGATCAAGGAAAAGAATAAGCATGTCGGAATTCGATGGTGTTTATGCTAAGCATATCAGGCTATGGAAAATTTGAGTGATAGACTGATGCCACGATCTGGAAAGTTGCTGGTGCTGACCGTATGATACTTAAGGGTTGATATCGACCCGAAGAAGTTAGGGCAGTGCGAGCGTGAGGTATGATAGTATTAGGTATCCAGGCATCTTGGAGGTGAAGCACGCGAGCAGCCTGGCGGGAGGGCAACGAGGTATGATATTATCATGGGCCTTTCAGGCTGGTTTCTCATAACATAGGAACCCGGCCGGCCTGGAAGCCTACCTTTTGCCTCCGAAAACTGCTGTCTGAGATCTGAGCCCTGAGATAGAGGACAACGCCAAATCGGAGTGGGCCGTAGCCGAACTGCGGTTGTACTACCTGTTACGAAACCTTCTTAGAGAATGTTCTGCAAAACGTGGCTGTTTGCAGGCTTTCTGATGAACCCCAGTGCCTCGCCGCATGAGCTTGAAAAGATTACATCGCGAAATTGTATAGTCTGCTGTGGTACTCGCTAACTCCTGACCTCACCTGTAAAAGTACCCAACCCATGTCAAAACTCGCGCCCGAAGAGTGAGTCTTCTCCCATAATGTGCCTTTGACCATCTCTTCATCGTTTTACAGCAATATGCCTGCCGATCTCACATCTCAGATTTCTGAGAAGTTGAAGCTCGCATCTTTATGTGTGTCTGGATCCTTCGGCGTAGTTCATCGGTGTACTATCGAGACCAGCGAAGGCACAACAGAGGTCTGTCTGACCAAGTCACCAATTTGCCCAAGCTTATCGGTCGTCAATCTGGTATCCATCAGGTCGCGGTGAAGGTGTTCAAGGTTGATCTTGGGAGAGCTATAGAGAAAAATAAAAAGGTCAGTTACCTAACTGAATTGTGAGCATCCTTCCGAATTCCATGGTATATGTAGGCAATGCGTCGGGAACTCCTGGTGTGGTTCAGACTGAAACACAGAACTATTGTGCCGCTACTTGGCACCGCCTTGATCGAATCCCCATTTCTGGCTCTCGTTTCCAAATGGATGCCATCTGGGACATTATATGTCTACCTTAAGGAAGCTACGACACTTACAGCTTCCGCTACAGTTGAATTGGCGAGTCCCCTGCTCATACCAACCATGATAAAAAAGTGTTCACTGACGCTATGCAACTAGGCCAAGGGCGTTGCCGATGGCCTCCAGTATCGTTCGTCGATTCCTATCAAGTCATTATTTTTGTTCTTGATGATTACCTAAGTGCACTCGGAGAACGTCGTTCACGGAGACCTTCATCCCGTATGTATGGTTGTCTCTGTGCGGATATTTGACTCATTCTTAAGTTCAGGCAAATGTGCTTATAGATTGTTCAGGAAATCCGCGCCTGATAGATTTTGGTCTTGCAACAGTCGTAGGAGATGCAGAGTTGCAGTTGTCCATAACGACCGCGAGCCGCAGCTTGGATCCTCGATGGCGTGCGCCCGAAGTCATTGGAATCGATCCCGATCTCGACCCTGAACGACCGACTTTCACGAGTGACATCTATTCTTTCGGTGGTATCATGTTTTTTGTGCGATCTCATTATCTTTCTTGAACTTCAACCTAAGCTTTCTCCTCTCAGGTGATCTCCGGGGAGAGGCCATGGCAAAAGAAGCAACCGCATCATATTTACGTTGAGCTGTCGAACAAAGCCAATCCTGCGCGTCCCGACAATATCCTAGACAATCATTGGGACTTGATTCAAAGATGCTGGTCTTGGAATCCGAAGGATCGCCCAAGGGCTATTGAAGTGTTTGAATGTATTTATTAGTTTTGGATTCACCCATTAGTCCGCCTCACTGAAACCCGCTAGCCATATGTATAACTGGACTTGAAATCGAAGAGTGGGTCTTTTCCATGATGTGCCTTCACCCATCGTCATACTTTATAGTGATAGCCTCAGCAAACAACTGAACCTGCATGGCCATCCGTCAACTTCTCAGGGACAATCCGAGCGAAGGAGGTATGTACTGCCTCCATCTTCCCGGTAATTCATCTTCCCATTCGGTTATTCATTTTCCCCATTTTCCTTGGAAGGAGCAGCCCATACGCCCCGCCACCTCTCTCTCGCGGAAGAACGTATGAGCGAGATATTTGTCCTTCACCTTCTCGATACGCAAAGGTGGATCACTCACCGGGACAGGATGTGGAGCTTAGGTATGGAAGTTCAGTACCATTTAGCGAAGTACTAATCGCTTTCAAAAGGTGCATGGAGACCTACCACGACAGTCGGCAACAGCCACCCGTCTCCTTATCAGCTTTCAATGCACCGACACCGACGTACGCTTGGGAACGGGATGAGCTCGAATCCCAGATACGCTATCCACAGCCCCTCTACATCGGTCAAAATTTCATGCGGTCGTCATCGTCAAGCTCTATCTCTAGCTTGCGCAATTCTTCTCGCATGCCGTGCGTGTTCATTCACAAAAAGTATGAAATAGGGTGTTAAAATGCAGTCGCTTTTGCAGCTCCCCGGCACTATCTGACCTCAGCCTCCCCACCTCAAATTTACCGCCCAAAATACGAAGAAGCTCGTCATCAAGTGAACAGTGTGTCATTTTTTTAATTCTCCGTGTCTCTTCTGCTGAAGACACCCTTCTCTCATTAGCTCTCCTTACCGTGCATCCTCTGTTATGCAGATCATGGAGCCGCTGAGGTGCGTAATTTAGGGTTATTTGCAACCTAGCGCTTAATGCACCTGCAGACATGTAAACATTGAAGTTGATCGTAGCTGGCCTCCTGTGCTCCCCAGGCCTCACCAGCGAACGCCTACTCCTGCTGAAATGATCAGTAGTCCACCATTGCACACATCTCAATCGGATCGTCACCGCCAACGCGAGGACAGTCCTAGTGATTCCAGTGATCAATCGCATGTTAGAACCTGCCCAACAATACTACCGAAGGCAGAATCAGAGGAGTGGGAGAAGTACGCCTACCCTAATACCTGCCTTCCGCCCCCTCCAGCTCATGGTAGTGTTGTCGATCTGAATTTGTCTTACCAAGGCCCTTCAGGACAAAGATATTCCGAGGACTTGTGCTCGCAACCACAGCTGGCAGCACCTACATCTCAGGATCTGCCTTGCAGGAAAATTATGATAGCTTGTCGGCAATGGTATGTTCATTCTTATTGTTATTCAGGCTGCTCATTCACATGGTTGCTAAGTCGTGCGAGAAAAATTCGGTGTGACTCTGCAAGACCAGCTTGTCATAATTGTGTGCGCCGCTCGAATGAATGCCAATATGATGCAGCACCTACACGGCGAGGGCCTGATATTAGGCCAGGCACTCGCCAGCGCTCATGTAAGAAGCGCCTGACTGATGGCTCATCCCTTCCTTCCCTTCTGCCCAAGCGGAAACGCACTTCAGTCGGGCATGACGACTTGTTCATGTCTTAGGTTTTTCCTAGTTAGATGAGGCGACGCTTACAGGGGCGTGCCCATGATACCAATAAGATAGGGCTTACGGTCCTGCGCCCTTATGTTATCCGAAGGGCAGAAACTTGCAGAGGTGTGTTTTCGATGATTTTCGTGTATTCGGCACCTGACCTACGCACAAAGGAATGCCTAATCGAAGCTACAGGGTCATCTTAGTCCCAGGCCTGAAACTGTCGATTTTATGTACCCAATGCCATGCTGTCCTGTTATCTTGCATTGTTCATGTCGCTCGTGTATTTTCAGTGTTAAAATATTGAATATTGATCTAGGATTAAATACTTTGCTGTCGATCGGGTTCCCCTTGTTATCTCGCATCAATGTTTTTCTTTCACACTGCCTACGTATTTACAGAATTTGGAATGAATGTCAAATACTTATGGGATGTTGGCGCGAAATTCAATGACATGAGAATTGCAATGCTCAAATCTCTCAACGTGTGCTCATGTTTCGTTTCAACATTCTAACCATGTTTTTGCAACTACCTTTAGGTTATGTCAATCTATTTGTCCATACGGGGCCTTCAGTCGTCCCCTGTCTTTTTTTTTTTTTTCTCTTGCCGGTCATGGCATTTTTATGACTCACTAGGATCTTGACCTATCAATATCAATAAGACCATGGATAGACTTTCCTTGACAAGGGCTACGACTTTGATTTTCATCGGAAAATGTTCCCACGGTCGAGGTGCTTTCTTGAACTGTTCACTTTCGAGTATTTTCCTCATACCTCACTAGGATCTTGACCTATTGTTGTCATAAGACCATGGATAGACTTCCCTTGACAAGGGCTATAACCTTGATTTTCATCGGAAAATGTTCCCACGGGTCAAGTAAGCAAAAATGCGAAAATTCACCAAGTCTTGTGATGTGGCTTTGTTTGGCACAGCTTATATAAGCAAAAGTGCAAGTCTTTTCCCACCTTTTCCTTCCTTTCTCTCCTCCTCATTCTCCTTTCTACTCCATAATTTTCGCATTTTTGGGTATTTGGTAAGTCTTTTTTTTCTTCTTTTCCTTCCCTCTCTGACCCTCTCCTCCTAGCTCCTTCCTTCCCTCCTCCTCCTCCTGCCACTCAATAATTTTCGCTCTTTTGGGTATTTGGTAAGTCTTTTTCTCTTCTTCTCTTCTTCCCTCTTAGTAGTTTATGTGTTGTAGTAGTTCCTTGAAATATAATTTGAAATTTTCGCATTTTTTGGACTTTGAGAGCTATGCAACTTCAGAAATTTCAGCAACTTTAACAACTTTAGAGAATTCACCCCTACTATAGCAGCTTTAGAGAGCTATATAATAGGCACTCGTCTATAGATCCTATGGTGGCTTTGGGTACTATTATATAGGATTCTTGTAAATAGGTTCAGTTAAATATATGGTTATGTTAACCCCTAGGCCCCGAAAAACGAAAATGGAAGGCCTAATAGTATAATCCCCCATAGGGGGGAGGGGGGTATAATGAGAAGTGAGAAGTGAGAAATATGAGAAGTGAGAAGTGAAATATGAAAAATGAGATGTGAAATATGAGAAATGGATTATGTAATACGAGAAGTGAGAAGTCAAAAGTGAGAAGTGAGAAATCCAAAATGAGAAGTGAGAAGTAAAGTGAGAAGTAAGTGAGAAGTAGTGAGAAGTGATGAGAAGTACATGAGAAGTAAGTGAGAAGTGATGAGAAGTACATGAGAAGTAAGTGAGAAGTGATGAGAAGTACATGAGAAGTAAGTGAGAAGTGGTGAGAAGTACATGAGAAGTAAGTGAGAAGTGATGAGAAGTACATGAGAAGTAAGTGAGAAGTGGTGAGAAGTACATGAGAAGTAAGTGAGAAGTGATGAGAAGTACATGAGAAGTAAGTGAGAAGTGGTGAGAAGTAAGTGAGAAGTAGTGAGAAGTACATGAGAAGTAAGTGAGAAGTGGTGAGAAGTACCACCCTTGGCAGCACTTAAGCGCCCGTCTCACGATCTATCAGGTGGGGTTTCTATGTTGCAGCAAACCCACCTGTGAGGTATGCCTCTCCATAGAGGCTCCCTGTAATTGCCGCAAGAGGTCCATGCCCTTTCCTTAGTGTACTGCCTCCGTACTCCCAGAGGTTCGCGAGGGTAGGTATAAACCACGCGAGGCCATGCGGCACCCTCGCTGTTTAAAATAGTTAGTTTATATGTTTTATCACACATGTTTCGAATACAGTGAATCTCAATACTATCATGATGGTGCGACAGACAATATATTTGGTGTGAAAGGGACAGAGACATTAACAACTCAAAGAAGACATGGACGTGAAACGGACACGATAAGAGATCCAAACCATGAAGAAGAAAATACACTCGTTATCCCTCTCAATGCTGTGCCATATCAATGATTAGTACATGCCGTGACGGGAGGCTCGTGAGGATGTAATGGAGGTTTGCGAGGGTCGAGTAGGCGCTCCTGAGGGTCACATTAATTTGTGAACATCAGAGGGAGGCTCGAGAGGCTCACAGATCATGTTTGTTCCTGCAGCTGCGAACTGAAAAGCTCATCTATTTCTCCTTCGTCCTCGGTAGTGGCATTGCTGACTGCGTCTTCATCATGAATAGTGCCGTCCTTAATAGTGGTGATCTCTGGGACAAGGTCGCTATGATCGGGTTCAATGACCGGTGAACGTTGCTGAATCGCCTTCAACCTCCAGGAGGATGGCGCAAGTGGGACTTCTACGAACACACGGAGTCTGCGCCGATTAGATGATGTGGCGCCAGATTTTGAAGAGGAAGCGTTGGCCAGACGGGTCAGGCCAAACCGATCAATCCGTCCATTGGCAAACCCTCGTCGCCCACGAGTGTGAAGAGAATTTGCTATGGGCGCTTCTCCAACAATGACGGGGACACGTGAGGTCATAAGACTTTTGCGAGCGTCTGTTGCAACCGATTTAACGGTGAGGGCGTCATTCTTGAGGGCATTCGCAAGTTTGAAGCGCTCATGGATAGTGAGGTCGTGGATACCCTTGCTCTTTGCAAGGGTTGAACGCCTCTCGCCGGGCATAAGGACGTCTTCTGGGTAGTTTTCGAGGATACAGCCACGACGGGCTAGAACGGTAGGTAGGGTCTTCCACGGGAAGTTTCCCCCTCGTCCTTCGAGGGTCCCTGTAACATATTTAGCTGTTCTACACTATGATCTGACTGTGACACTTACCGAGAAGCGCCGTCAACCCTCCAACGATGCAAGGTATACCTTCGAGGAGCCTCCATCCCTCAGGATCACGGACCTCTCGCTTCTCCAACCATTTGTCCAGCACCTCCTGCGCGTCCACCTTGTAGCGCGATGCCATACGCTCGAGCATGTAGTCGAGCTGGGTAAAATCCATGAATCCAATGAAGGTATAGAAAGAGGGAGGCGTGTAGAGGAACGACATCGATAACACATTGAGAAGATGTGTGCCCATCGATAATTCTAATGATAAATTTGTAACTATGTATTGGTTACAGCTAGGTTACAGCTAGTCAGAGGACACAGAAATGGGCATTTCTCAACATTTCAAAAATGTGCAAAACAGGTCAGGCCTAAGTTGGGCATTTTCCAACATCTCAAAAATGTGCAAAACAGAGCAGGCCTAAGCTGGGCATTTTCCAATTCTTCAAAAATGTGCAAAACAGAGGGGGTCTAAGTTGGGCATTTTCCAACATTCAAAAAATGTGCAAAACAGGTCAGGCCTAAGTTGGGCATTTCCCAGCCCAAAAATGTGCAAAACAGGTCAGACCTAAGTTGGGCATTTCCCAACATCCAAAAAATGTGCAAAACAGGTCAGGCCTAAGTTGGGCATTTCCCAACATCTCAAAAATGTGCAAAACAGGTCAGGCCTAAGTTGGGCATTTCCCAACATCTCAAAAATGTGCAAAACAGGTCAGGCCTAAGTTGGGCATTTCCCAACATCTCAAAAATGTGCAAAACAGGTCAGGCCTAAGTTGGGCATTTCCCAGCCCAAAAATGTGCAAAACAGGTCAGACCTAAGTTGGGCATTTCCCAACATCCAAAAAATGTGCAAAACAGGTCAGGCCTATGTTGGGCATTTCCCAACATCTCAAAAATGTGCAAAACAGGTCAGGCCTGAGCTGGGCATTGGGCATTTTCCAATTCTTCAAAAATGTGCAAATCAGAGGGGGTCTAAGTTGGGCATTTTCCAACATCCAAAAAATGTGCAAAACAGGTCAGGTTATGAGCCCCCCTAGGATCCACCTAGGATCAATTTTTCCTAGTTTTTGATTATTACTCCGGTATGTACAAGATATGGGAGTCCAGGACTCCCACCGTGTGCAGGCCTCATACCACTTGAGACTCAGATGTGGGAGTCCAGGACTCCCACCATGTGCAGGCCTCAAATCACCTGAGTATCAAATGTGGGAGTCCAGGACTCCCACTGTGTGCAGGCCTCAAACAACCTGAGTATCAAATGTGGGAGTCCAGAACTCCCACCGTGTGCAGGCCTCAAACAACCTGAGTATATGATGTGGGAGTCCAGGACTCCCACTGTGTATAGGCTGCAACAACATGTGTATCAGATGTGGGAGTCCAGGACTCCCACCGTGTGCAGGCCTCAAACAACCTGAGTATATGATGTGGGAGTCCAGGACTCCCACTGTGTGCAGGCCTCAAATCACTGAGTTCAAGATGTGGGAGTCCAGGACTCCCACTGTGTGCAGGCTTCAACAACATGCATATCCATTATATACTCATAGATACAGTCAGTAGTATCATGTAAGGTAGGCCTCAAGCACTTTCAGTCAACATCACATGATGTGACTGGGGTGTGACCTACATACTACTCATATGAAAGTTCTCCTTCTCAAACTTGGAGTTACCTAGATTTTTATTTTCTTTGCCCAGTTCCCTAACCATATGAGGAAGGCGCAACTATTAGAAGCGCCGCACCAGCAACTTTTTTTTTTCAAGTCATTTCTTCCACAACTTGTATCTATCTAACTAACCCATCTTGTAGCCCTCGAAATTCTGCATCACCCGCACCAAAATTCGGTTTAAAATAATTGTGTTAGTGTTGACTTTTGCCCTCAACAAAAACTCGTGGTTCCCATGTGCTTTACACTTTTCGTGTGCCTCCTCTACTCTTACCACGACCTCTGGCTACCCCGGTACCTTGCAGGGTGCTTACCCTGCACCCTGTGATGATCCTACACCAAAAATCTCGCTGCCCGGCCCTTCCGTTCTCGATTTATGGCCCCAACATCGATCTGGGCGCCCTTTTAGTGAGGGGGAGGGTAGGTGAGGGTGTAACTTTTTTTCATTCAACTCTCTTGACTAACCCTTCTGGTGTCCTACTCTACAGCATTCTACCATCCTCCCGCACCAAAAATTTCGCTGCCCGGCCCTTTCGTTCTCGACTTATGGCCCGAACATCGATCTGGGTGCCCTTTTAGTGAGAGGGAGGGTAGATGAGGGTGTAACTTTTTTTCGTCCAACTCTCTTGACTAACCCTTCTGGTATCCTACTCTACAGCATTCTACCATCCTCCCGCACCAAAAATCTCGCTGCCCGGCCCTTTCGTTCTCGACTTATGGCCCGAACATCGATCTGGACACCCTTGAGTGACGAGGAGGGAAAGGTGAGGGTGTAACTTTTTTTCGTTCAACTCTCTTGACTAACCCTTCTGGTATCCTACTCTATAGCATTCTACCATCCTCCCGCACCAAACATCTCGTTGCCCGGCCCTCCCGTTCTCGACTTATGGCCCGAACATCGATCTGGACACCCTTGAGTGACGAGGAGGGAAAGGTGAGGGTGTAACTTTTTTTCATTCAACTCTCTTGACTAACCCTTCTGGTGTCCTACTCTACAGCATTCTACCATCCTCCCGCACCAAAAATCTCGCTGCCCGACCCTTTCGTTCTCGACTTATGGCCCGAACATCGATCTGGGCGCCCTTTTAGTGAGAGGGAGGGTAGATGAGGGTGTAACTTTTTTTCGTTCAAACCTCTTGACTAACCCTTCTGGTATCCTACTCTATAGCATTTTGCCATCCTCCCGCACCAAAAATCTCGCTGCCCGGACCTCCCGTTCTCGACTTATGGCCCGAACATCAGGGTTAGTTGGGCATAGGGACGAGGAGGAAAGGGTAAGTCTGTAACCTTATTTTTAGGCAACTAACTGCACTAACGCTTCTTGCGTCCTGCTCTATAGGGTTCTACAATCCTCCCGCACCAAAAATCTCGCCGCCCGCACCTCTCGTTCTCGACTTATGGCCCGAACATCGATCTGAGTCCCTTAGTTTAGTTAGGTTAGTGATTAGGTTTAGGGACAGATATGCATATAACTTACTTCTAATGTTAGGGTTGTACTAGCCCAGGCTCTATCACTCTACTCTGCAACGTTCTGCAATCCTCCTGCACCAAAAATATCGCCGCCCGGCCCTCCCGTTCTCGATTTATGGCCCGAACATCGATCTGGGCGCCCTTGAGTGACGAGGAGGGAAAGGTGAGGGTGTAACTTTTTTTCGTTCAACCCTCTTGACTAACCTTTCTGTTATCCTACTCTATAGCATGTTACCATCCTCCCGCACCAAAAATCGCGCCGCCCGCACCTCCCATTCTCGACTTATGACCCGAACATTGTTCTGAGGGGGCTTAAGCGTTATGGAGTGAAACATTGGTCTGTAACTTTTCATCTGCCAACTTTCTGAACTAACGCTTCTATAAACCTACTCTACAGAGTTAGTCGAACCTCTCGCAGCCAAAATCTCGCCACCCGCACCTCCTGGTGTTGACTTATGGCCTAAGTGGGTTTTAGGGAGGAGGGAAAGGTAAGCCTACAACTCTTTTTCAACGAACTTTCTGAACGAACCATTTTATAACCCTACTCGACAGGGTACTACAAACCTCCCGCACCTAAGACCTCGCTGCCCGGACATCCTGTTCCCGACTTATGGCATGATCATCGATGTGGGTGGGCTTGCGCTACGGCGAGGGTAAGGTAAGCCTCTACCCTTTTCTACAGCCTTTGTGAAAACTAACACTTCAATTGTCGTACTCTATAGTGTTTTATGCCCCTCCCGGAACAAAGTCCTCGCCGCCCCTACATCTCACTCGAAAGCTATCACTCGAACTTCACATGCTGCGGAAACGAGAGGTGCAATAACACGACATCACCAGTATGTTATCGGAGGTGGAAAATCATGCAAATCCCGAGGTGACAGAGTACTGGGAAGTATCCATTTCTGGTTCTAATCCGACGTAGGAACGCTGGCTCCTGCAGCAGAGTCTGATTCCGATAACTGAATTTTATCCGGTTTGTAGTGCGTCCGCATGTCTGATTTCTGTCTGAATACTGTCGTAATCGTGTCGTATTAGCATCTGAATATCAAGCTATCGTATGACTATAAGGTCTCCTATGCATCTGCGCCGCTTTCGGACGCTTTCAGTCGTTACTCCTGCCTCTCTTCACCGCGATGTACGGCTCCCATTTCAACTTTCTAGAACACAGGAAGTGCGTGCCACATAACACATGCGTGATATGCACACACGATCCATCTGACGGGAGAATGAGAAATGGTTAAGTTAGCTGTTCACCTGGGAAGATAACATCACATACGGTGCGATGGCGAAACGTGACTTGGTTGAGTTGGGCCGTCGCAGAGAAAATCATTCTGACGTTGTCAAGGTCCAAAGAAACAGTCAACGTTTCAACAGACGACATCACACATCGTATAAACACGGGTCGTCACCAAAGCACCATCAGCATTGAAATCATGCTCTCTATGGTTGTTCGACAGCGAGACGCTGTCACGAGCCGTCAGCATTAGGCAAGCGAACCAAAAGACAAGAAAACAAGATCGTGCGCCGACTGAGAGCGCGACACATCCAGAGCATCATTCAGCATCGAGCCAAAAGAATAGAACACGGCGCTCTCTGAAATCAGGACAAGGCTATGGCATCATCAGCGTCAGGTACGCACACCATAAAACCAGAACACATACCCTGATGACCAGACGCAACAAGTGCGCCATCAGGGTTGGGTATTAAGCGGACCCAGTGAACGAGAACACCCACTGACTGGGAGTGCAACGTGACAAGCGCATCATCAGGGTCGAGTAAGTGAGCCAACAGACGAGAAACGCACGACCTGAGAGCGGCGCACGGTCAGAACATCATCAGCGTCGGATAAGCAAGCCAACAGGCAATACCACCTTGCTACGGGACCTGGTTTCATCGCTCCGAAGGTCGAATGTGAAGGCAACTTTAGGTTGATGGCGTTGCTGCTCTTATCTAGCGTGTGTTTGAGTGGAAGTTGGACTTAGCGGAATATTTAAGACACCTCACCTTCAAATAAGCAGAGTGTATTCACAGTCGAGGACACCATATACACAGACCCAAGCGGGCGGTGCCGCTAGGAGGATGGGAAATCTGCTTGCGAGTTCGGTCAGTTAGTGGGCAGGAATAAATAAGAACGTGTTAGGGCTTGAATGCTGTGCTCGACGTCGTCGGTAGCACGTTTTCACATGATCTGAATTCTCCATCCTTAACAAATTTTGGCTGGACTTCACGAAATAGCCACCTACCGTTGGATTCTCGCACCATTAACCTAGTGCTATAGTAAGCACTGTCACGAAGTGGAAAGAAGAGCTGCAAAACGCAAATTGAGTTCTTTTCATAGGGATTACGGATTCAGTATCGCTCACCAAGCGTTGTGACCACTGTATGAATAAGCGTGACGCGACGCGCTACACAAAGTTTATGTAATTGAACGCGTTCTGACCGGCCTAACACTCAAAAGGTT